CACTGATACAGCGTTGAAGCAGCGCTGACATATATCTGTCAAAAAACATACGTTGTACAGCTTTTGGAAATAGCTTCTGTGCACAGAGGATCTGTAGCATCTCTAGGTTCCTAAAAACCGATGTCTCAGGAGTGTTGTGTGTATAATGTTCATAAAAGTGATATCTGGCTTTTCGGCAAATACTTCATTTGCAGCAACAGCATTACGGTGGCTCGACCATGTGCTACAGATGTCAAAACATCTTCTACCTAGATAAGTGTGATCCTGTATGTTCTCTTAAGGATGACGTCAACTGCGAGAAGGACAACGTATAACTTGACAGGAGATTGTGGTAGTGGTCACGAATGATGGGACGTTTTGTGCTCTTGGCTTTTGATGTTAGGGTCCCCATAGTTTTCTGTGTGTGGGTAATCCATATTAGTAGCATTTGTGCTGCCAATTTATATTTACAGCTTTTGATTTAGTGTTTGAAGGTTTGGTTACCTCAGCATGCCTGCTTTTGGAGAGTAGCAGGTCCTTTTATCACCCGTTTGTTCCCGTTGTCTTGAGACTTTCAGCCAGTCGTTTCAGTGAGTCACTTCTCTAAAATAATGCTGCACTAACTTGAGTGTGATACGATTGAAAACCTAAATCTACCTTTACACAGCAGATTCACTAAAGTAATTTCATTACAAAAGATTCAGCTGAGTCTATAGTGAAACCAAGTTGCTGTGAAAATGAGTGCATTCTATACGTTCCGGCCTAGATAAACTCAGTGCTAGGCCCTAAGATATTCCCGTGGAAAACTATCAAACCAATAAGTTAGTCAAAGCACAGCATAACGAGGCTTTAAGCCTTTCGATTTCTTGGGACCTTCAGGGGCTAACCGACAAGGGCTTGGCTTAAGCAAGCTGGAGTTTTGAGAGTTGCAAACTTTTGTCAACCGAGTCAGATGAAAGCGTGGCAGAACACCTACTAGTGAGAACATGACCTGTCATGGTAAAGAGGCTAGCAGGGGAGTGTCACAACGTCCAACATCGAGGTACTGCCTGCATAAAATACATGCCAACTAACTGATGAACGTCCTCGAATATCCCTTTGTAAGCTTACATATAACACAAACATACCTGACAATCCTTAACATAGTCACAGCACAGCATAACGAGGCTTTAAGCCTTTCGATTTCTTGGGACCTTCAGGGGCTAACCGACAAGGGCTTGGCTTAAGCAAGCTGGAGTTTTGAGAGTTGCAAACTTTTGTCAACCGAGTCAGATGAAAGCGTGGCAGAACACCTACTAGTGAGAACATGACCTGTCATGGTAAAGAGGCTAGCAGGGGAGTGTCACAACGTCCAACATCGAGGTACTGCCTGCATAAAATACATGCCAACTAACTGATGAACGTCCTCGAATATCCCTTTGTAAGCTTACATATAACACAAACATACCTGACAATCCTTAACAAAAGGGTTCACAGTAGCTCCCTGATCTGCAGCATGTCTGACATGTTGGCAAGATTTACGTGCCTGCTTTGGTCACTGATGGCGACTTGTTCACTGGATTGTACAACGTTGTACGACCCAGCCTCGTGGAGGTAAATTCATTTCTACTTACTTCACTGGTCACCACTACCATCATGGACGGCACGACATCAGCGTTCAATGGTGACGTTTTGCTGCCGTGAAACTTGCTTCAGAGTGAGGACATTGAAGGAGGGCCAGATAGACTGGGCGTGGAGACTTGAAGATTGATTTCCAGATGCATGAAGATGATGGCGTCGGATGACGCGTGGACGTTATTTGCAAAACCAATGAAGGAGGAACGGAGTCATGAGTCTTAACTACTGCACCTACAACGAAGGAGTTATATGATGCGAAGAGGAAGAAAAAAACGTATATAAAATGGAAATAACCTTTTTCCATTTGACTACCCTGCTTTATGCACCAAATAGGGCTACCTGGCTGATGGCACTACGCGATCTCCGACGTAGCATGATGTTATTTGTCTATATGCAATTCATGGCTGCACGTTTGATACAGCCAAGGCGCCCACATTCAGACAGCAGGATGATTAAGGCCCTCAACCAAAGTCTTTGGCTTACATGCCTGTAAACAGAGCAGTGGCGGTTGGCTGGAAATGCAATTATAATACCGTTTGCACGAAACACTTTACCATACATGTTCCAATCTCAAACTAAGGGATCAGCGGTGTGGTCAGACCACAAAACTTGGCGTAAGGTGCTCTGCGAGTGTTGCTCAGACACCCCACAGTATACCTCACTGGGTCGCCGAGGTGTACAAATCCTCAAGATAAGGTACAGTCTCCTCGTGACGGACTCCAGTATGCGGCATACATTTAGCGAAGAAAATCTTTGTAGAAAAGCAGACCTTGGGTCAATATCATACAATCAATGAAAAGTGCCCCATTGACGCGGAAGGCAATTGGATACCTTCACTGTAGATACGGATATATCAAACAATGCTTGGCACCGCATTATTTTCATCTGGAGGGCTGAAAATGGAGTGGGTTGCCAAAGGTAACAGCCTCCAACAAAACGATGTGAAAGTCTTTGTGGTTACCGGAGTCTGTTGAAAATACCAATACTTTTGGTTAGTCATGGTGTCTGTAGCTGTTACTTTGAAGACAGACCCTTATTTAAAGCAGGCCTTTCCTCCAACATCTGTTTCATTATCTCCCTGTACTGTTCGCTTCCATTTGGGTTTGTAAATTTTCGCTTCTATGTAGAGTTTTTTGAGTGTTTTGTTCCTATTTCTTTTCTTAACACAATGATGGTTCGATTTTAAGAAAAAATGCCGATAGCTGAGTAAAATACATTGTTTATGGGCTGGTCTTGGGCATATTCCGCGGCGTTGTTCAGCTCTGTAACATAAATGAACAAAAACTATCGAGAACTGTTACTTTATTTATTTTGGGATCCCAGAGTCCGCAGGAGTCCACAATTGCAAGAAGTCGGACATTCTTCGTGCACCTGACTTTTCTTGCACAACAGTGCATATCACAATAGTAAATTCTGGTGCCATACTCTTCTACAAAGGCTTCAAAATAATCTTTCAGACAGCTTGTCAGTGTTACAAGCAAAAATGATACATTGCACTACGGACTTCTGACTAAGTGCCTAGTACTGCCCGTATATTCAATTTCTATGCCTTAAGTGTATTTTTGTTCGTTGATATTATGTGTTATTGGCTTTAAACCGCACAATTCTTGTTGCCCTAAAGAACGCTAGTTATTTTCGAAGGTCCAAAGGAAAGAAACCATAACAGCATGTTACTTCGGTCCTTTATCCTGTTGACCTTATTGACCAGCCGACGGAAGCCGTGTTCTAGCGAAATTATTTGTGAAAAAGCTAGAATCGCATTTTGTTCGCAAACTCAAGTTCCCAGCAATGGGTTGAATTTCATAAATTTTATCCCACCTTCATTAACATAGCTTGCGGAAGGATTCGAGCTTTCTGAATCAAGCATCGATTAAAGCTAAGTATCAGCTGCAGCAACCCAGTGTGGAATATTACTTCAACTCAACGACGCACTCACCCAAATTGGTGCCCACATTTGAGTTTTCAAAAATAAGGTCTAAAGCCCTGACAAGCAGTACGACACCTATCTTTCTGAAGGTGCCAAGGAAAAGTAGAATATCAGTGGAATGGAGTGCCTAAACGGTTATCTCAAACTTTAAAACGTGCGCAAGAACGCAATACAAAAATCACCACGGCATCAGCCCGGCAGTTGTGTCATCCGAGGTACTCTCTAAAATTACTTCAAGCGGATTGACACTCATTGAGAGAGAAACTCGTGAGAACCAAGCTTGAATATTAGTGGCTGAGGGTTTGCCGACGTCATTCTCTTCAAACGATGCAACCTTTCCAAATGTTCCAGGATTGTCGTTCTTAATTACCTGAAACCTAATGTTGAGTATGTCTTTCAGCAGAAACTTAGATGGTGTTTGGCGATCAAAGCGGTCCCCCTTCTAAATTAATGAGGTCAGATTGAGCAGTCTCCTGTAAAAACGTATGATTAAGCAACAATTTTTTACTTGTGTTCACAACGTCTAGTGCCATTCGTCATCGTTTTTCTCCAACGGTTCTAATGATGTGTCGTCTGAAATTTCTCTTATTGTCTCTGTTTTAAATTGAAATGCTGTTGAGGAGTTCGGTGATTGACACTTACACGGCGGACGGTTTTGCTGTCCCCAGCTATAGTTCCTCAAAACCAGGCCACTCTGAATAATTATCTGGCGAGGTTTTGCATGCGTTTCTTATCTGTAAAGCGTAGAGTGCTTAGAGCCCAGCCAGTTGAAGTAGTGGATCTATTGGTCTACTTTATCAGTTGTGAAATTTCCAGTAGACCGATCGTGGGCGAAAAAGCCTTTCAAATCGGGATCACCTTTGTAACTTCTCCAAACTTTGCAACCTGTGGCCGTGACGTGAGGTCAGCGTGTGCGTTATGGACACTATCCACTGCGACGGTAAAACCCTATTACTTTTTGGATCAGTATTCGGCTCATGCGCAACAAATGTACTTTAAGTGTGTGACCGATGATGTATACCCACGAGGCCTTAATCTGTCAAAATACTTAGACATAAGCAAAAGACGTGGTTCGTTATCTGTTATTTGAATGAAGTAATAAACATGCTTTGTCACTGGCTAGTCTACGATATACTGAGTACCGGCCTTTGTCCGAATATGTATTGCTCAAATCCCTACACTAACGAATGGTTTCCTTCAAATGAGTAATCCATAGCTTGGTTGTACATACTAACAAACGAACCATGGGAAAAATCAGCAAACTAAGTTGTTAGTCTTTCGGAAGCCCATTGGGCAACTTGGGTTTTCTTTGAGTACTTGACGGCCCTGCAGAAGAAGCGTATTTCCAATGGGAATTCACGACACCCGCATAGTATCTGGTCTACAAATAAAACAGCTGTCTAACAACTGATCACAGCTTCAATCTCTTGTTTCAGGAATCCAACGGCAAAAAATGTGATAAATTGTGTCGGATCGGCCGAATAAACACTGGAGAGTTTTGCAATCAACAAGCTCCCTGAAATATCATTCCTCCATAGTTCAATGCTCGAAGACACACGCCTCAGCCCAGATAAGGTGCTTATCCGCCTGGAGGAAAACTTGAATCTTTTGCTTTTCGACCTAGTTGACCAGAAAAGAACGATAGATCATTTTGATCTAGCTGTGGGAGAATACAGACCAACGTTTTTTGTCTGTCGACATCGAAACTGCGGATTCTATGAGGACTTCCAAAAGGAGAGAGAGGTAAGCCCTCCATAAATTGAGCAAAACTGCTCAGAGCATCCACCGGCAATAGGTATGCAGTAGTGCCCAAAGTTTTGTGCACGCCTTTATTTATGCTGTTTCAGAATTTCATATCTTGTGTCAATAACAAAGAAACAACTGGTCAACAATCACCTACTTAGACGCTTAGCGTTTTGCCAACTTTATTCGAGTAGGATTTTTTGCAGTTAATTTTATTACATGCTGCGTAACCTTGGCAGAAATAAGCATTCGTAAAATGACTGCTGCCAAACCCATTCTGGGATCATCGTGGTTTTTCTAGTAGGTCAAATAAAATAATTTATGGGTAACGAGGGACTATTTATATGTGGAATCAAAATGTTCGTTAAATTAGAAAATGTCAGCATTTTGCTGTCAAGGTTGGCTCGATCCAGATTTTTTCTTTCTTGTTAATTGACCTGGTGTTCCATTGTTCAGATCAGCAGGATAATGTTGGCTTGCTGAATAGTTATTTGTAACGCTTGTCTTAATCGTAGACAGAGAAGCGTTTACCCTTCCGATGCCTAGCTGCCACGCCACCAGAAGAAAGCAAGAGAGCTGGGATACTGACAGGTTGCTCAAGACTAGACATGGGAAGTCGAGTGGGCGGAGGTCGGGTTCGAACCACGGACTTTCCGGTCAGTGAATCTACGCTCCAACCACTTGGGTCATTTAGCCGTAGACAGCTAAACTTTTAAATTCCTGTTTCGGGAATATAGCTTTTGTCGACATTAAGTCTGTGCCCAGAAACCGAATGACCCACCCCAAGCTGTATAGATGTGAGTCACCGGCAACTCAGTTGCGAGAACGATTTCATAACAGCAATGATTAAACGACGGTGATGAAGATGATGATGACGAGTATGCTGCTGCTGCTGCTGATGATGATGATGATGATGATGATGTGCTGAGTCACCGTCCAAGTGCACGTGGTGTGATATAGACCAGAAAGACCAGTCTGTTACAGTTATTCTGACTGACTTTATGCCATAGAGGGTGGGCTTAGACTGTTTCGGCCAAAATAGTCGTAGAATAAAAAGAGCTACAAAATGTGTACAAATTTACAAGCACATTTTGTGAGGTTTGGACTCAAGGGTGAAAAATTATACACATCTTCGGAGTTCCGTACCAGTAAAAAACCTATTGGCAGTTTAGAAGTTGACCGTAAAGTGTATTTCATTCCACTTTTACTATTGCATTACCAATTTTTACTGATAAGTTGGAATCCAAACCCAAACGTTCACCTTGAAGCAAAATGTGTAGCATGTTGACTTTTAGTATCCAAGAAAATTGTTACTGCGCTGAAAAGTTGCATTCTATTTTTCGTACAGAACTGGGCAATCGAAAAGCAGAAATTAAAGGAAGAGATTGAGAAACTTGATGCGAGAACAGCCGAGAGAAAAGTGTATAAAGAGGAACTGACCAAACTGCAGAATGCATTCACATCAACCTCTAAAGACGGAGATTCAGAAATTCGATTTCGGCTTGGCGAATTATCAAGAGAATTGACAATGCAACGTGTAAATGAGTTGGCTTTGCTAAGACGTTATGCTGGATCTCAGGAACTTGAAGTTGTGCTGCGAAAGGTAAGTTAGATACCACGGCAATACAATAACCTAAAAATAGTGACTATCTAACATAAGTGCTTACAGACCAGTGGGATAGTGTTTAGGATAATATGGCCATGCGCTCGTAAAATGCTAAGTTGCATGCTTAAGACGCTTTATATTGAAATCAAAATCGCTGAATTCGGTGCAGCCATCGATAATATTGTTAAGTAACCGGATATGAAGGTATCGTTGCCTTGGTAGGGAGATTCATATTGATTCCTTCATTCCTGAAGGCCAGTTAATTAAGCCTCTTCTTCAACGAGGAATAATGAGGCTACGGGAAGACAGTTCCTGTGATCAGCTCGACTATCAGGCCGCTGGAAATGAGATGCACTTGAAATTTATTTAAACCCATCGTTAGTTTAAACGATTTTCTTGTTTTTTTCGACGAAATCTCTATGTTATTCCGATGTTTCTGAATCATTGGGATAGGTGTTCTTTACCTTCGGTGCAGACAAACCGCACTGATAACGGAACTTTGGTTTACTCCTGCAATTATAGATACGACCGTTTTCCAGATGGCTTTGATGGCAACCCCAGGCCCCTATAGACTCGTACAAAACCAATACGCACATCCCCCTGGTCACTCAACAGAAACCTCCTACAGAACTAACCCCACTTGGCCTAACACGACAAAAAACAATGTCATATAATTAGTAGTTTACGGTACTGGACTTTAGTGTGGGAATTTTATGCAGCTTTGAGAAGGATTAGAGGAACGGAAACAAGCGTTTAAATCAAGAATCGGAGGCCGCCCCATGAAGCAATGGTTGCTACACATTCATTTTGTTCTTGAACCTCTGTACTCTTGAAGAAACTGTAGACACCCTTACTCTTCAACACAGAGGTCGACACCAGCGACGCGATGATTCTGTGGGCTGGTTTTGACGTACTGATGATAAAAAAAATCGATTTCGCTGCCACTGAGTGTAATTCAAGACAATGGCTCTTGACTGTCGTAATCTGTAAAATTCATAGCTGTATGTTAACTGAGATACTACTATGACACCTGCACCTAGACCGGAGGACAATTAAGGTACTCAGTCCAATTCTTTGGCTCGAAAGCTTTACCGCAACACGGCGGTTGTCGACGTGATGCCAATCGCGTAGGTCAAATGTTTAGTAGACCGATTTCCAGTCTTGTCCTAAACTTCAAGTTGGACGGTTAATAGGGAATGCTTCATACGGATATCCATTGAAGAACTTGATGGAAGAGACTCTGGAAGTCGAATAAATACCCTCTAATATGGCTCTTTTTAACTGATGTGGGTAAAGCGTCGCACCAGTTTCTTCACGATGGAGAACCATGCTAGCCTAGCCATAAATCCGAAATCTCGGAGCAGAATCACGGTACGGCATAGCAGTGGTAAATCTACGGCAGTGAAGCATCGGTGTCGAACATTAATGTCACGCTGCCGATGATGATGATAATGATGAACATTGAATACAATGTGGATGCAACCAATTCCTCAAAAAAAAAGTCAGTGATTGATGTGTGGCATTCCAACGGCCCGTTTTTACTCCACCGTTCGTTTGCTTTCCAGGCTGTTTTGGGCCTTCTTCCACTTCATTGATAAGCAGTTGTGATATACACGACAATATTACGCCATTTTTGAGCTGAAAATATTTCTGGGTAGAAAACACACTTCATAAACAAGACGAGAGCCTTAAACCAGTCGCTAGCTAGTGCAATACCAGGTCTCACTGGTGAGCTTGGTTGACGCTACAGCGACCGAAGTTTGTTTATTTTGGTGTACTGGGGAGTAACGCCGGTGACTGCCAAAGCTCTCATCCTAGGCAGACCCGTACTGTAAAAGAATTTCCTTGCACTTGAACACAATAAAGAGCATGCACAGTATTGGCAACCAAAACCGAAATCGGGAATGAGCATAAATAGATGAACAGAGGACAGTCGTCTTAACCGAACCCTACCAATGTAGGATGGGAACATAAAGGATGGAAAGGAGTTCCAAATCTAGTCATTTGACGAAGGAAAACCTGGCGATCTTTTTACCATAGCAGAGATGATGAATCGACAAAATTAATTAGAATAATGCAACGTGAAGGTCTATCGGAAATGCACGTAACAGGCGCTGTTGTTGTTAGTTCTGAAGAACGTTTCTATGACTTTATCGGTAAGATATAGCAAGAGATGCACGCCAAGATCATCCGACAGCTTGGCTGTAAGAAATGAGGAAAGTGTGAGAATTTGTTTTAATCTCGAGAAGAGGCTGGATTCTATCCCAGGCAGGTTAGACAACAGGACAAGTAGAATCTGAAATTTTCTGTGACAGGAGGCTGAAGAGGAGGGCTGTAAACGGGAGCAGACACAAAAATCAACTTCACTGTATTAAATTTTGTGATCTCTTGGAAGTTGTCGTTCAACAGAAATGTCCAAACTCAGAACGACGAAGGACAGATTGTGCAGTTTGGAAAACTGGTGACTGAGAATTCCGAGGGTTTGTGATGCTGTAGATGAAATATGGGAGTAATTGCAAATGTCACGGATGGTGGCGTTATTTGGACTTCAGCCGACGATTTTGGTGAGTTCAACAATCAACATATTCATGGTATGGAAACTTTCAGAACCTGTAGAGGTCGTTTTGCATTCGTAACACATCACGTTAGGGATTGAATGCAACGCACCAAAAAGTGCCTCTGAAGATGGAACATCTAACTGCAACAGACTCTTTGAAAGAACCAACAATGCTTTTTGGTACCGCCGTAACTGTGCCAAGTCGTAAATATGACCTTGCCGGACTGAAGGCATACCGACCAACTGTTTTATAAGCTTGCGAACTGGCTGTCGAGTCATACGTGTAGGCAACACGTTGATAGTTTTGATAAAAGCTCAACCTGATCCAAATCCCTTGGTATGTCGAGAGTCACTAATAAACTTGACTAAAACGAAAGGCCAAGTATTAGTTACTATACTTTGATGGGGTATCCATCAAGCAGTTTTGTCTGCGCTTGTACGGTCGACCACTCAGGAAGGTGTACTTCTCAGGGTTTTTCATTAGAAACTATGAAATTCTGAAGCTCCGGAGTTAGAAATAAGTGATGCGATGCATAACCAGTGCAAATCGCTATCACTAAGTTCCATATGGAGGGTCTTTCGGTAACCATGATCCATAGTTGGATAAACTTGCTACTGATGAAGCTGTGTTACGTGCTACCTCTTCTCAGGAACACTTGAAATCAGAAAAAAGGGTGAGAAAAGGCTACTTTTCTAGAGTTATACGATTTCCCGAGAAACGGACATGAGTAAAGTTGGATTACCTGGCTGAGGGCAATGAGAGATAAGTTGACGAAAACCAAACGATTGCATCTCTGAAACAGTGAAGCCGGATGGAGCAGCTGAAGTGGAAGTTTATTCACATGCAAAAAACATAGGACGCATATTTCATATTCTGGAAAAGAATGCCGCAAAAAAACCTTATGAGATAGCACATGGGCACGGTGGGTTTTAAATATCCAATAAATTCATGGTTGAAGAGTCCCAGTGGGACAAACGAAGACACAGACTAAAAGGCGCAGTTGGTGGTAGGGATGTGTTCGAAGACACTGAATTTATGATAAAGGTACGACGTTGGAAACGATTGAGAAAAGGCAGAAGTAATATGCTTCCTGCCGACCTGAACCCCGAGGTTTGAGGAATGTGACCGTTGGGAATTGTAAACATCTAGATGTCAAGTTCATTAGTTAACTTTGACTAGTGAATACAACTTCTAACGGCGAATAAGACGCCAATGAGACTAGGATAACGGTATAGTAAACATAGAGAGTGACGGGAATAACAAGGACAAATATTGTTAGACTGTGCTTTCATTCTTGTTTACCCTGAATGATACTGAGCAGTAAAGAGTATGTATGCCATTCTGTGTTGATTGTTTTGTTCGGATCGGTGGTTTGACACGTGTTTTATTTCACTCTTCCCTATTTATGGTTTTCAACCATAGGCAAATCACCGCTTATTTTAAGCAAATGCCTGCTCCAAACACCAGTCTCTAATGCTTGATCGACCCGTCTTAACACCTCTGAATGTCAGTACTCGCGATTATTCATGACTGATGATGGAACTGAAAAGAAAATCAAGGATTTGCCCTCAAGCGTTCTGTATTTATGGCAAGTAATATTCTGATGTGAAGTTATCTTCTGGTAAAAAAAATCCGATGCCTGCACGAAAACCATTACGTTGGGCCGGTTGAATTTGGGAAACAAATTGAAAGCTCGTCCGGTCAAAATACATCCCTTTGGTCCACTCAGATGTGCAAAAATTTGGTTCGCTCTATTTATTTTTGTTATTATTCATCTTCTTTTATCACAAAGCGAATGTTTAATGGAAAACAACTATACAGCGACTGCAAGAATCTGACATCCAGAGACGGAACTAAGCAGCTGACCGTTCCGAAACTTCAGTTTCATAGGATCGGATACTGTACAGTAGCTCTTATAAGGCACATTTCTGCAAATCAGCATACATCTTTAATTCTGTGGCCATAACGCATCGCATGAGAACATAGCGATCCAATCGGCTTGGCTGATGCAACTACGATGGTGTTAACTAATTCCATAAAAAGTGCTAAGATTTTTGCAACCTCTCTCCTGAATGGTCACTATAAGTAGGGTGTGCTTTGGTCTGCTAGCATCGTGATTGTCTATTTGACTTGTGGACACTTGTAACTTAGGAGACGTACAGTACGCCAAGACATTCACCGATGGTTTATCCGTGAGCGGAGTTATTCCACTCTGACTGGGTTCTACCTTCGTTTCCTCCAGGAAATCAGAAAGCTCAAGAATCGACTCGTTCAAGTAGAGAGTATGGCCCAAATGTGCCTCAGTTACTACTCCAGTTGTACAGAAATGACATCGTTCCAGATTGAGACTCTCCAGAAACAGCTTGATCTCTCCATTTCGAAGGAAGAGTATGACCGCCTGGTGGATGAGTATGAAAACCTGTCGACGAAATATCTGGAAACTTTTTGTCAACGTTTTAATAGCTCAGAGGGCAATAGTGGAACGTTCACAGCTGACGCGAATTTTGAAAAACTCCGTACTGAATACGAGTTTCTGGCAAACCAGTGGGCAGCAAAAACCCAGAAGGTAAGCTACCAGTATTATCCTCCTCTTTGTGAAATCTCGGTATGAATACACTACTGTGGTATGCAAGCGAGCTTTTTCATACTAAGCTCATGCATCTTCACCGTAGAAAGAAGCACTTGCGAATGCGCCTGATATGCAACGAGCTTTTTCATACGAAGCTCATGCATCTTCACCGTAGAAAGAAGCACTTGCGAATGCGCCCCTGTCTTCACTTTAGATCAGTTGATTTTGGGATTTGACCAACTCATCTCGTCTTTTTTGTGGTCTCTATTTCATGCTGTAGTAGTCCGTGGGATGGTGGAGTAAACAGAAATAAAATCTGGCACGAATGACTTCATAATCATAATCATCATCGACAGCATGTCATCAGTGCTCGACACCGATGCTTCACTGCCGTACAACCATGATTTATTTGAAAGCTTTATAGTAACGAAAAGAATAAAGCTGGACGGGGAAGGGACTTATTGCTAACGTACCTATACCCCCAGACACTCACTCAGGCGATCTGGATAGAAACTGACAACAACAACGCCACTGACATCGGTTGGCAGCCATATCTTGCAGTGTCTCCAACCAGGCACAGTGAGGATCACGCGGTCCCCATCCTGGAAGGCCAGTAGCACCGACAGCACCCAAGCGTTTCGTGATCTTCATACTCCTCTGCCAAGTCAAGGGTTGGCCACCTCTCTGTTCACGCCACTCTGAATTAGGCATGGAAAACAGCACTCTCTTCGGCAAACGATGGTTCGGCATGCGCAACACAACCAAGGCAGCTTTTGGTGCTGAATACATTCTTCAATGGAAGTACCCGTTGCACAGCCGAAAACGCACATTCTAACTGCCTCATTACGGATTCGATGACCGAACTTATCAGGGAGTGAAACCGTAAATTATAGGATATAACGAACTAGGAAGGATAGCCCACACACGTGGATCCCGGATACCACAAACCGGAAACCGTATCTATAAAATGCATGAGCATGTAAAAATCTGAAGGACTGACAGTAACTGACTTTAAAGTTTGAAAAAAGCTATCAATGCAATTTTTCCAAATGAAACATCTTGCTGAAGCTAACTAACTAGTAACCAGGACTTTCTGAACGGTAACTGTTTGCTGTGAGACATCATACTATTGATTCGGTCATCTGGACTTATTGGAATATCGGAACATATGCAGAGCACCAAAACAGTTCTTCCTTGTGCTCTTCTCATAGAGCAGCATTTCTTCGAAGAAACAACTCCCCTATTTAGGACAGCTTTGCCGAGGAACTTTTAGCATAAAACACATTTTAACCTCTGGGTTTTCTAGTTTTTCCCATGTTTCTAAAAGCAGCCCCACTCTATAAAGACTGAGACTATAGCATGACCTGTTCGGTTCAGTGGTTTGTTGTAAGCTTTCCATCTTTAGTAGTCACATCCACGTGGAATTCTCAAGATGGCAGCTATGTGAGGACAAAACACACATGGAAAGCTGTCCCTTACGCCCAGCAGTTGATATGAGTTGCCTCCTGTTGCGCCTCCGCTCACTGGCTAAAAGATCTAGCGAACGCCATTCGTATGCAGTCACAAGACAACTTCGGATTCGTCAAAGTTATTCAAAACGTGCTTGTCGTAGACAGACGCATGCGCTCAGTGGTTGCCCTAACTAGACATATTAATGTGTACGGCAGTGAAGCATCGGTGTTGAACACTGATGTCATGCTGTCGATGATGATGATGATGAATGTGTGCTTTTCAAAGCCGTTGAGTGTATCTGTGATTTTTTCATGCAGTCGGTCGCCAGTTTACCCACCAGACGTGTGGAGGTTAACGAAAATTTCCAAGCTGTTCCTTGAACACACTTTACTAGCGGTACTGCCTACCGACAAAGAAATTGGGTTACGATGGGCTCCCAACTCGCCCCTATGGTATTTTGAATACGAAGTTTTGAATTCAGCTGTTGAGCAGTCCCCCTTCTGTAAAATATGTCTAACATTCATACGCACAATAACCGCACCTTGCCAAGCAACAGGAGCCAAACGGTGACTTCCATTTGCTCAGTTTTGCATTGACCAGAAACGAGCATGACTCACACAAAAGGGGGCACACATAAAAACCACATAGCCTCACCAAAACTCCACGTAACCTCGTAACATCTCCGACTCACACGACCGCTAAGATCCACACAAGGACAAATATTATGTTGAAATGAAGGTCATCTGGGAAATTGTCACTAAGTGCCAAATTAGTATTAGAAAATAAGCCCAATTGTTCAGAGAAAGCCCACAGACACTCAGTGGACATTTAGAAGGGTCCGCTTCAGAAAAGGCAATATGATGCTCCACAAACCGCGTAAGGCAAAAGACGTTGCATCATTTCCAGAGAATCAAGGGAAACTTATTAATTTGCTGAGAAAGTGGAGCAACAGACACGTGACATGCACTCCCTCATTTGCCTGGTTGATATAGACCATCGGATCAATCTGGTAGGTCAGCGTAAAATAACGGGTTTCGGAAAAAAATTGGTCGAAGGGTATTTACGAACCAATGGCGGAAACCGTTGAAGCGACCACCCATCGGATAGGTAACCGCTATTTTTCCCGGAAGAAGAAATATGTAGAAGCTCTGAAAATGCCTTGATCCAGCACTCGGATTTCTCCGCCACTGAGTAGACAATTTCTTCTTAGCGTCAGCGCATCATCAAGTTTATCGTCAATCTTCTTTATCGTCTTCCTTTAGTGATACAATATGACTGAGAATGATCGTATACAAACGGAAACAAACGTATTAAAGTGAGAATTTTCACTAGATTCAATGACACAACATTTTAAATTTTTGACCCGGTATGTTCTGAGGAGGTCGCACTCTGGATGGAAGTTTGCGTATACTTTACCAAGGGGGTTTGCATAACGGCCTCAAAAAAGTATGCCGATAATAAGGAGAGCGTTTTGGACTTCTTTCGCAGGATCCTTTTTTATTGTTGCAGACATGTTTTTAGCTGACAGGAATTTTCCGACCAGTGGATTCCGTTTAAATAATTATTGACATATATATACACATATATGGTATACAAATGTCAGTATGAGGGCTACGGGGTTGGGCTATTTAATCTGAAGATGCCTTGCTTGCGAAGAGCGTATGTCTTTCTCCGTGTGGTCTGGTCAATCTAATGGAAGTTCAAAAAACTGGCGGAACGATTTGTAGAATACTATTGAGGATCCCAAGCTGGCGTATGCATTTTGAAACTGCATTACAACTGATGCACCCGTTGCATATTGTCGTAAACTGTTAACCGGTCGTGACTTCTCAAAGTTACTTTATGGCTTTAGATAAGCATCCCTCACACACAAAAGGAGGACCATCGTACGAAAAGGGAGCAGTGCGACTCTTTGTTTTTAATTTTAGAAAAGTTGCCTCATCCTACTTGCCCGCACTCTTGATTCATCACGAGGATTTGGTATTCCTCCTATATAGATCATTACTTTTTGCGTGACACGCTTCTTTTGCAGCATATTTAGCAGAACGATATCGTGAATAGCACTAAGAAATTACTGTACCATATTTCCGTTCAAGCCTACATCGAAACATGATTGGAGATCAATGAAGCCACAAGGAAACAAACCGGGTGAGTCGAGAGAATTTAACAGAAAGGCTCTTGAAGAAGAACTACTCCAAATGTTAAACCGAGTCTGGCAGTTCACTGAGCGCCTCGTACAGAAAAATCAAAAGTTGGAACAAATAATGAGCATACAAATGAAACAAAAGAAACTTGTACCGAATTCCGAGCTAACTGGTAAGTTTGTGGGTACAATTTTGTTGGAAATACCTAGGTATTTTTGGGGACTGCATGAGGGTTAGAAGTCTGCCTAGTTTTTGGAAAGGTAGCCAGACATAACACTACCTTTTTTCTGTTTCTTTTCCGCACATAACTGTGTATTTCACCGCCGTTTAGCTCGACATCCAGGACTAGAATTCTGAATCCTAGTGAATCCTAGCTTTAACCCTCCAAACTTCGCTACTCCGTTTCTTCTCAGTAGTTAAAAATTGTTCAAACTTTTTTCAGTTATTTAGTTTACGTCATCGGGGACCTGTAAATAATGCCTTCAATTCCGTGTATTTCACTGCCGTTTAGCTCGACATCCAGGACTAGAATTCTGAATCCTAGTGAATCCTAGCTTTAACCCTCCAAACTTCGCTAGTCCATTTCTTCTCAATAGTTGAAAATTGTTCAAACTTTTTTCAGTTATTTAGTTTACGTCATCGGGGACCTGTAAATAATGCCTTCAATTCCTGCTCATCTATGCTCGACATCTGTGTATCAAGCAACGTTGTTCTGTTTTTTCTTCAGTGTACAACACGTCTAGTGTCACGGTGTTCTTCGCTATTCAGGTGCACAGTTGGCAGAATCGGGGATTTGGTTCTCTGATTGGAAGTATTTTGAACAGTTATCAAAATATGGTTTAAGTGCAGCTGTACTAGAGCATCTGACCAACTGATATTATAAAATCTCAGCTCGATGTCACAGTTATTTTTTCAATGTACATGCGAATTTTCTGTGGAATCTTTCGGGATCTAAACAAGATGTCAGGTGATTTCTAGAGTTTACACTTCTGCCTCATAGTTACATATGAGTGTAGCCTTAACTCAGCCATTCTGAGCCTCTCATGACAAATGCATATAATTTGCCCAGAAAAATACTGAAAATTATCAGCAGTACAAATTCCACCAAACTCCGGTGATCTCCAGATTAGTAATTTGAACACTTAAATCTGCAGTCGCCAGTGCCTGCTCAGTGGCTGTACAAGTGCAAGTCCTTCTCGGTTTCTCAGCATTGATTGGTTTCGCCTACAGAACAAAACCTTCATTAAAATTCCAAAATTTCCTCGTACAGCCGGAACCATTTTAGTTGTACGCTTGGTAGTTTTCACCATTCTCAAACAGTCATATTGGATTGTTATGAGAACTGTTGTTTTATTAGCGAAATAATCCTGTTGGTTTTGCATCCCCCTGTTCAACACTGGAGTATTTCTCGTGTACAAAAATTTCAGCGAACAGGAGGAAATCGCTTCTTGATAAGGAGATAATGGCCCAGGTAGTGGAATTAGGTTTTTTATGGAAGATCACAGTTCTGATTGTAAAGCAGTTGACTGTCACGAGAGACGCACTGATGATGCCCCGATTACTGGTGGCTTAACGTCTGAAAAGTAAGCTGCCAAGCTCGGAGAAAAGATCAACAACCAAAAAGAACACTACAGTCTCTCATAAACTAAGAAGTCATCCTTCCACAAACCCAGTTGTCGAGATTCTACATACGCAAAATACCCACAGGATATCCATTAGTTCGGACTTTTCATTGAAGCAATAGATGTAAGTGTATTCGACTTTTTTGCAACCAACCATCTGCTGAACTTAATATTTCCAAATGGTATCCGGTTCCATCGGCTTCAAAGACTTATTGCATTGGTAGACCCTTGTCGAGGTTGAAAAAGACAACTGTGTTCTACTATGAACACAAATAAGGCAGGAACATTCTAACATCTGATTAATTTCGTTTAAGAGCAAAACAGTTTATCCTGGCAGACAAAAACATACAGAGTGAAGTTCGGGGTTGGAACATCGACTGGAATACATAGAAAGACAGCTGGTGCTGCCTCTTAATTATGGTCTCCGCTTGCTTGAACAAATCACCATCATCATTACTGTCAGCTGTAATAACCGTGTACTTGTCGTACAGTGGTTGTAGCTGCCACATCTTCGTTCACCGATGATTCGGGGAGGTGGGGTAGGTAGCTGCGCGTTGGAGGCGGGAGCTGATAATTTAGTGCGTAAGTACAGCACTGTAGGTGGAATATCAAATGAGGGGATTGGGAAGGGAGCTATGCAATGAAGGCGATAGCTTGGATGCATGAGCGCCATTGAGGGCGCGGCTGGGCCACATCTGACATGTGTCTCTAGCCGTTGATGTGGCCCGTCTTGGGTTCCCATCCAGGAAGATGGCAATGACCAGCGCAGCTGAGTTTGCTGGTAATGGTTTTTATACTTCGTTGCCAATTCATTGTTTGACCGCCTCTGGCTCTCTTCTACCCTTCACGTGGTTGTGCGAAAAGAGCCCTTCGAGAAAGTCGATCAACTGACATACGCAGCACGTGGCCAAGCCAGCGCAACCTATGCAGTATGATCAGTTCCTCTATCAAGGGTGAGTTATTTTCCCCGAATACCTCAACGTACCTCAGCATTTCTGGTCCAGTGTTCCCACCAGATTCTGGCGATGCTTCGAAGAAATCGATGGTCAAACACTGAACAAATAATTTTCGGTGCATATACCGTTTTAAGTGGCTAAACTTTGTAAGATATTCAACTGTCATAAAGAAGTACACAGTGCATTCCTCCATCAAAGTGGGTAATGGCTCGGTCATTTTTTTCACTTATACCTAATCGTTTGGTAAAGCCTACTTAGAAGAATAGTGAGTGTCATAGCCAGTACAATCTGGTGAAGAGAACCATTGATTTTCCGGCAAAAATTAATGGAAGGGAGCTAAAATGAACAGGAAGCCCGGTAGTGAGTTTTTAGGCGAGTGAATGTTGACCAATTTACTGAATTAATCGACAGTATGACTTGGAGGGGGCTATGTAAGGTGATGAGTAATAGTAGTCACTAAAAAAATAAACACCATTCAATAGCAAACGATCGCTGGATGAAAAAAGTGCAGTAATCACCGAGAGTTTCTTTCACCACCTTGGGGCTCCACTATTTCCACCAGATTTCGAGAAATTGTCTTGAGTATTCCCAATCTTGGCTAAGGATAAACAATGAAAGAAAAACTTCTCTCATTGTTATAAATACGACTAGAAATAAATCGGGAAAATATTTTTTTTTCTCAAACTGTAGAAGCCGCCCCCGACAGCGTACACCAAACGTGGAAAAAACGATCACGGGTTGTGGAACGGGAGAATCTGAAACTGCGGCACGAAAATGAGCAACTGAAGGAAGTTGCTGTAATATCTCTTGCGCAAATACAAAACGCTGAGCAGCAACAGGCAACTAAAGACTTGGAACTGGAAAGTCTCAGGAAACAGTTGGTGGAACTGGAAGCAAAGGACGACGGGACGGCCAAGATGGTCCGGCTACACCGTATGATAACACAATTACAAGTAAGGAAGAAGTAATTATCGCAAACCCGTAGGATCAATGTCAGTGTAAATAGTGGAATCGTTTATGGCGAAAACCCTGGGTGTTTAACCAGTTAAACCCAGTAAACTGGTCATATGGATGTCACAACTATTAGCGCGGAGATAGAAAAAACTGACAAGGTGTAAAATCCGCTATGAAAATGTTAAAAGACATTTTGAGAATACACGATACTCCGAAGTTTCGACAGCCTTCTTGAATTGTGGAAGTTACAGTATAAACGTTTTTAGGAGGATATGTCAAGAAACCAGGAGGCCAGGGGAACATTTTGTTGAACTCGGGCCAATCCGGCGTGGAACGTGGTGCAAGCACTGGATTTTACTACTTAGTAACTCAATGCTACTCTAAAGGTATTTCAGTAGTTGAAATGCATGACGATAAAATAACTTAAAGTTTAACGCGGTTGATGCTACAAATGCATGTTATACGGCATGCCCTTATAGTTATGGTTCCAACCGACCAAAGTAATTGTGAGGGTTGCACCTCGATCTTAAATTTATATGGCATCGTGTTGTCCTACGCAAACACGAGGTGCTACACATCTCTCAGAAGCAAACTTGAGTGTATTTTTCAGCTTATTTTACTAATTAGTTATCACAACTACAGCATTCTCTGGTCTCATGACTGGTTGGAATATTGAAGTTGTGCTAAATTTGGTGCTCTTGATAGAGGTAGCAAGCACCGTTTGATTATCAGATATATGGCTTTATTTACTTATGCCTTGCATGAAATTTGGCATCTCATGTTTGAAGCTTTGAGCTGGTCACCTGATAGCTCGGGGATGAAATTCACCTGCTTTCGTATCCTTCGAAAGCAATCTTTCCAGTCAGTGTTCGTTGAGAAGACGTCTCTTAATCCACCTCTATGAGTATAGCCCATACGCATGCAGCAAAATTATAAGAGCAGATGAGTTGGCATTCGTACGTGGACCCCAGGATTTCGAAAAAGGCACATTCCGACAATAACCACGAAAATTTTCATTTGCTACTGTTAGAGAATAAGATCCCACCATGAACCTGGCAACAGCGATCCCAGACTATTGGTTTTGGCTTTGCCGGACATTCGTTGCTTGCACTGTGTTCTCAAAAATTTTCACAGATGCTAGTTCACTGAAGAGACTTTTGATCCCTAGAAGCCACACCAGTACATTCGTCCATATTATTGTCTATGAGGTGGTTGTAGGAAGTTGAACACGCGACCAACGTGAGTGAGCACTAACTGAACAGATTTCTCAGCTGGTCTCATGCAAATGATACGAAACATTTGTCTCCTGTTCGCTCTGAACCACTAGCAAACTTTATTTTACCTGAAGCCTTTGTCGACCACTTCACCGTTTCTGCTCCATTCACTCCAGTTTACTTACTAAGCAGCCTTTCTTCAAGCTTGAATTACACTTGCCCGATGCCCTACCCAACCAGATATCAGAATCAAATGCCGTTGCGGATTTGGCAGCCGAGCAGACCAAGAATAGCCGGCTTCAAAGTTTAGTCATTAAACTGCAACAGCGATTAGTGGCAAAGGACGCGGATCTGGGGAAACTGCATGAGAAACTTCATTGTGAAGAAATAACACATCGTAAAGCTCTTCAGGTAAGTGGTTTTTTAAGAAACAAGTACACCAGCGACCAACGCAATCTCCTTTTTCTTGTACTGACGTTCACTTAAGCTAGTCAGACCATCAGGTAAACCAAGACAGACAGTCACCGGTTCAGAGAACACGTGGAATGAACCTGAGTTGAAACAATCATCAAATCATTGCACTCTGGATTTGCAAGATGCTGCTTTGAGCCGGACTTGTAGCAGCTATGTGAACAGTGATTCACGCGACCTTGGCACATTCGCGAATTGACTGGGTCGAATTCGAGTTCAGGCTTCCTATACATATGAGAGCACACGCTCGTCTAAACCCACGGTTGATGAACTCACACGCAGCCTACCACACACCTGCTTCGAACGTTACCCACACTGACACAGGCATTCGCCACAGACAAGTCACTTCTGCTGGTGCAGTTGGCATACATACTTACTCTTCTCAATACTCACAAGGCCCACAAACATAAATATGCGCACATGGTCTCTTCAGCGGACCTGCAGCTGCCTCAGGAGTGCACCAAAGAGAGAGGCATTGGTAATCTGTCGAGTCCATCCCGCACTTTTCTATCGGTGCTGTCTGTTTTCGAGAGAGCGGAGGCCACCAAATGCTCTCCAACCCTCCGATCACACGCAAACCCGTTTGGACTCCACCTCAATTGTTGTACATAGACAATCCTGGGTTAATATTTCTGGATCAACAAAATTTTTGAGCCACGTTCCCGTAGTCTTCAATGCATTCCCGGTGAAACTTTGTGACCCTTTTTAAGCTGACGAATATACCAAACGGTTATCTGACACCCAAACCCTCCCATATTTTACTACGGCCAAGACTTTTAAGGAAAACACAGTTATTGGTATTTCGACGTGGCTGTATCTACAGGTACTTCGCAATTGTTACTCCTAGATGTGTGCTGCTCGCGGTGTTTGTGCTTTGGGCTGTGTGAGGGGATGAACTCACCCGGTTGAAGGGATACCTGAATGTGGGATTGCTTTGGAAGACAGAATGCCTTAAGACTTAAGCTAACGGACTGTCAAATAAGGGTTGCTGAAATTTGCACATCCAAAGCAGTCTAACTTAGAGAGGCACGAGGTTGAAGCCGTAAAATACTGATTATCTAGACGACAATTTCCAAAAAGACAGTGTGAACCAATGCTTGTAAATTGATGGTATTGTATTTTCAGTCTGCCAGGAACTATGCATGGTGTACTTTTTAAAGTATAATATTTTCAGTCATGTCCCTAATTTGGAGTGTGGTGGGTAACACCTGTGCACATTGGGGGTAGATAAATTCTGACTCAACATTGTGACCTGAATGAATAAGTTTAATGACACTTCGCAGCTACTGTATGTCCGATAGCTCCAGCCTTTTCCATCCTTAGATGGAAAAGACGAAAACGCGAAAAGACCAGCCGAATATTCACCAGTCAATCAGCAAACTTGAGAGAAAATAATTTCATAAGAATGTGCAAGCGCCTTCTGAAAATTTGTCACTCGAGGAGTCAGTCGATAAGTGTTCACGGTGATATGGTTTTGTATGACTGAAGAATGAATGGCAATTTATCCTACCCAAGTGAGATTTTTTCAAAATGCTGGCCAGCTATTCATGGCCGAACGGTTAAATATTCAACCACTGAACGGCAGGGCACAGGTTTGAAACTATGAGTTTCGTGAAGTTCGCAGTGCTGATGATTACCAAAAGATGTGCGTCATGTGTACAGTGCTTCTTGGCTTTTCAGTGATGACTGACCTCAAGGACAGGACGAAATCTCTTTTGAACACTGCCAGATCTCCTCAAGTCACAATCACTCTAAAATCATGTGTATCATTGAGAATTTAAGCTAAATTCCTGTTGCTGGAGTCCCAGTGTTAATTTCAAATATGAGACCATGGAGTCTTGGGAATCAGTAACAAGAATAATCTATTACTTGTTGAGTTCCCAACCCTAAATGTCTCGAAAAAGTGGCTTGATGGTAGAAATAAAATGACATGAAACACAAAATAAGAATTTGGTATCATAAAAACATGACATCAATGGCTTGTTTCAGAAAACGAAAATCTGAACTACATTCGTCGAGATTAACTCAATGATCACATAACAGTTTCTGATGCGATTTGCATGCACATAGTACTCTTGAGAATGTGGCAGCCAAACGAGAAAAGTTTGGTTCATCTCCTTCCATCTTCAAACGCATGGAAACAACTCCAAAGTATGATATTATAATTTGACATTACGGTTACATGCAAAACTCTATAATGGATCCTGGATAGTGCTTAACAACTCGAAGACCAATGACACGTCAGCTGAAATCCCCGATTTCACTCCAATCGAAGGCATGCTTAGCCTATTGGAACTATGGGTTTACTTCGGTGGCATTCTTTCCTGTAGTGCGTTGACTGAGTTTCTTCCCGAAGATAAATTCATCCCTTTCTTGAATAAAGTCTTATGTGTGAAGTGATTTTCGCCATAATTAATTGACTTTCCTGGTTTCCGGGTGTCTGTCTTGACCTTCCGTCTAAGAGGCTTCTAATAACCTTTCTAGTGCAGGGATATACATGAACAACTGATTTAGCTTAGTTGCAGTACACAAAATCACATTAAACTGAGGAATGGACACACGTATTTTAACTGTTCCGCATCTTACCATTCCTGGGAGGTTGAAGAAAAATTCATGCTCCTGTCATCGCTTCCTGTACCGTATTAATTCCGACCTGTTTGATTATGTTGCATTTCGGATCTCGCGAAGAACGATGAATCATTGCCAGGGCATACATGAAGTGATGAATTATAGGAAATCATGAGTTAGTGAGAAAACTTCCAAGGGCTGGGTAATATATGATGGATTTCGGAAAGTAAGCGTAATTCACTTTTACTTAAACAGTTGAAGATACCACTCACAAAGTCTGGCGGCTTCACTTCGTCACACCGAAAGCACTGCAGTTAAAGACCTGACAAACTCTGTTCTGGTCAGATTTAGCTCGTACAAATTAACAATCCGTTCGTCACGTCACTGAAGTTGCATGGACTATTCAAACATCCGTAATATTAGGTTTCTCACTCAGATTGTATATGCACGTGAAACACAACGTTTTCTCTAGTGCGCGCAAATAGGAATTTCTGTATGGTCCGATTCAGTGTCACTTGTGTCATACATTTTATAGAAAACACTTTCGTAACCCACAGGAATCTCTGGCACCGAAATGCTGCCATATCACGTGATCTAATGAAGGACCGAAGTCGAACTCGAATAGTTGACTAGCCGCTTGTTTGTGTTCTCTTGCTCTATGCAAGGACACCCTAACAGTGATTAATTAGGAATCCCTAGAACACAGAGTGAATCCATCATTCGATAGTTTCTAATTTGAAAATAGGCATAGCATTTTGCTCTACTTCTTTCGCAAGCCAGATTTATTTATTTCAAATTCGTAGGTCTTATTCATTTTAACAAAAGCATCAAGATGGAGCAGACGAAGAGACATGAATTTCACTCACGTCTGGTGGGTTATAAACGGTCGCACTATTTATTTCGTTTGTACGGCAAACCCACAAGATTGACCACGACAGTAGAAAAGGTCTTTATAACTGAGCGGGTTCTGTTCGGAGAGCCTTAATGAATAGCTTATTTTAAGGTGAATACACTCTAAAAAACCATGTTGTCATGTGTTTTTTGCACTTCTCGTTGAAAAACCTCAAGTTTCCTATTACCACATATAAACGGAAAGGAGCCCTCCCATACAAAGATGTGTTTAGTACCACTTAAGGTAGTTCAACATCGGCCCAAAGTGGTCAACCTAAGGTATGCTTCACCCGTATCTGGCACTTGAACTTTTCGTACTCTTTTCGTATATGTTTTTAATCGAAACGTTTATTTTCTCCTATCAGAAAGACCGACTCAAACATCAACTCAATCAGCTTGAGGCCACCGTGCTGAATCAAGGAGCTCAGATAAGTGAGCTGAAGAAAGAAAACGCCAGATTACTAAGAGAACTTAATCAGCGGGAAGTTGAACTGGAGACTCAAGAACTCAAACTGGAACAAACAACTGCAGCGAAAAGTACGCCGGTAAGTAATTTCAGCTAAAGTTCAAAAGTGTGAGGCTTTAGTGGATGACAAGGTCATCAAGCTAACTAACAGACCTGTTGGTGCTAATTTCTTTTGAAAACTCCTGTGTTCCTCATCCACTTGTGATGGCCTCTTCGCATGACTTCAGTATATGTGCGCACTTGACTCTTCGTTCTAGAAAGTTATAATGTGATACAACGTCAGAAGTATGATATGAGGAGATGAGTTTGGTGGTGTACATTTTGGCGTCAAATTGAAGGGGGGACTGTGTTTCCTGTTTCACAGCCAGATGTACTGAAAATGTAGCGGTGTCACAATGATCCATTCAGGTTTTACGCTTTAGTAAGTGAGAGTAGTATATATCAGTAATACATCCCCCAACCCGAATTATCCTCTTTACTAAGGACTTGATATTTTCAGGCCAAAAACCTACTTTAGCATTCATGCGAGGCGCCCTCATTTACGAAGTGTCACATTTGGTCTGTGGCAGGAATTTAAAGAATATGCGACGCAGAATAGTGCAAGGTAATATGGCTAGACATGTGCCAAACTCCCAAACAGAGTTCATATCCTTGGATGTCAGGGTTACTTTGTGATTCTTTTTCGCGCCTAGCTAGACGGCACAAAATTACTTATTCGTTGATACCCAATTGTCAGGAACTGGAGTTCAGTACGCGGTTTGACAACGTTTTACCTAGCTATTTGAGTCAGGTGTATGTAACAAGAGTAATTAGCTTAAGAGCTCGCTTCGGGATGAGCGCGGTATACTTTGACACTCCGGAAAATTGGCTAAGGTAAAGGGGTACCATAAAGTTATAGCATCCTGGGTGGGGAAGTCTCAGTTGCACTTGGCGACATATCCCATGAGAAGCTTCCGCAGAGGGTACATTAGGGTGTTCTTCGAAGGTACATCCAAGGCAGAGACGTCCACAACTTTGGGCACATCTTTTCCAGATCTTTATCAGAAAAATGTCCAACAATCTGTTGGCTTCAACCATTCAGTTTGGCCGCTGAGTAGAATTGTTTCATCATCTCGAATTATTCATCCTGGTGCCCTTTTATTCAACCACGTTCCTCTGACCATTCGTTTGCAGATTAAACAAAAAGGTTGCTGACGAAACTCAAGGATAACTAGCAATAAACCACCCCACTAAACCTGGCTTCATGTGTTACAGTCAAAAGTTCACGTTTTCCACGAGATTGTTTGAATCAGGACTTCAGTTACGATGTTGCATCAACGGCTACAACCGTGCTATTGATGACGGTTTTTAGGAGAAGGTTGATCATGTAGTGGAGGATAATCGTACTGATGGGCTCAAAAAAAGCTTGCTGAATATTTTCGAATTATTATGATTGAAACGATCAGAGAGGTGAGATTTCCTCTTTAGCCACAGTGCCCCGAAAAACAATTCCGAAAATAAATACCTGTTTTCTTTTTGTCCAGATTCAAAATCCGCCAACACGTACGATTCTGAATGACTCACATCCTACTACCAAAACTGATTCTCACTCGATCGTACACCTGGAGGGTACTGGAGTCGACGCTCATTCTGCTCTTTCTGTGCAAGAACAGTTGCACAAAGCGCGGTGCACAACAGAAAGCGTTGCAATGCTCGCGTCAAATATTCAGGAGAAGAACGATATCCTGGAAGAAGTGGGTTTAACAATTAAAGTAGTTTGTAGTATTTTTGCCTTGACATCACTGCAGTGAAACGCCGTGGCATACTCACAAGGGAATTGCTGACTGTAAAATGCAATAACATACCCTGCATCATCTTTGAAATCCCAAAGGCAGTGACTTATGTCACACTGTAACTGATCAGAATTATATCGAAATTGGAAATTTCGTCCAGTCTTTCCCAGCCCATGTTGAAAGCTAAGAAGTGCTGCATGGTTGTTGCATTCTTATTAGGAATCATCGACAATGTGCATCTCATAAAACTCAATAGCGTTTTGACCGCACCATCTCCAGGTTAGTAGTATGAAAATTCCGTCACGATTAGACTGGACCCTAACGTGGTGTGATGGCTTGCGCACCTCAGCGACCCACTGAGTTTTACTGCGGGGGGTGTCCCCACGACACTCACAGAGTCTCTCGTACCAGGTTGGTCAGCGGTTAGAGGTCTGACAAACACAGTCTCCTAGCCCTCTAGTTTGGGGGCTAGAACATGTGGTGACTCGTTCCGTAGAAATGGTAGTGCGTTCGCCTTTTCCACCAAACACTGCTGCCTTGCAGTTAGGCTTTTGAGCCAAATGCTTTGATTCAACATCTAAATCTTCCTACTGTCAGGTGTGGGTGCCCTGACCTTATCCCAGCCCATGTGCAACCAGGATACGGCAACGAAGCATGGTTGTTGAACACTGATGTCATGCTGTCGATGATGATGATGATGATGATGATGATGATGATTTTGAACATTTGACTGTTTAGCCAAGATCGGCTGATCAAAATTGTGATTAACTCGCTCTTATCCCTCACCACAGATTTCACATCATACGGTCACGCTTTGACTGGATCCACTGGTTTACCTACAGGATGTAGTATTAACCGAAAATCTCATACCTCCCCACACTATCATCAACCCGTACACAGCTCAGAGCAAAACAAATTCCACAAGACGCCTAAACCTTATATCTGATAAATCGTCACCAAACGAACCTGTCGATATGTGACCACGTGCATGGATTCTGTGTTTGAAGCATGGGTGGCATTATACTGTCCGAGTACGAGCTCGAGTCTGTCTGGAGTTTCGCGAGTTTTGACGCTTCCCAGTAAGGGTGAAACAGGTCTAAAGTAGTTCTCTGCTGTTTAGCAACTATGGGTTCACCTGCAGAACGAATTTTCCACTGAAATGCTCCAGATATTCTCACTATCAACAATTTTTCAAAAGTCTAAACTCTGAGTTTTATCATGCTAAACTCATATGTATTCTTGAGAAAAGTATGACTGCGAAGGATCGGTGTTGAACACTAATGTGATGCTATCGATGATGATGATGATGATGATGATGATGGTGATCTTGAGAAAATAAGTGCCCAACACTATCCGAGTTAGGTTTTGAAACTACTGTGGCTGTGGAGACTAACCCTTCTACTTTGATTGGTGGATCGATCCACAGCCTCATCAAGGCTGATCTAAGACTTACTTTAATGACGTCCTTGAGGACTGTGAAAGCTCTTCCGCTTATCATTGTGCTAAAGTCTCGGAAATCTCAACCTGCAACTCGCTGACAGCTGGGCTAAATTAGTTAAGTAAATAGGCGTGATAAAAACAGAGACTAAAACTTTCTATATTTACTGTATATCAGTGAAAGGAAGAAGGCTTCCGCTGCGGAGCTATTTATTAGAAAATGCCAACTGAACAGTAACAGACTGTTGAACAGGGGGGCAAAACTCTCATATGCATCTTGTTTACAAAAACTGAATATCCATCTCCTATTTGAACGCGTCTTCCTAAACTTTCCTGGATATACATTGACTGTTGCTCAAATCCAACCAAATGCTACAAACAAATTCACAACTTCCTTAATAGATCTCACTTTTCAAGAGAAGCAAAGCGGATTTACGAGAAAACATACTCCTCGCATACCCTCTCATCAGTAGTATCACCTTTAACTCAGTAGTGGAAACCCAGCTAAAGACACTGTTTTTAGTGGATATAGGAGGTCAACTAGCTGCGTCCTCAAAGTCGCGTGCTTTTTAAATGAATGCTCTCTACTGTTCAAATACCAACCTTTTTCAGCGTAACACCGAGTTTGTCCGAGAATTACAGAACTTCGTAAATCGAAACGTACCAGCTATTCCTAACAAGGATTCTGCAGGAGAATCAGCAGTCCTCGTTCCCGGTGTGAAGGTCACTTTAGAATTACTTCAGAAAAGGTTGCTTGACAAAGAAGAAAGTCTGAAGAAAGCAAAAGAATTATTTCGACAAGTGTACGAGACAAATGTGAATGTAAACCAACTGCGCAAAAGAGAAATGGAGGAAATTCAAACTCAAGTAAGTTTCTCATATAGGATGCAACCACACCTCGGTTTTCCGAGGTGCATCGATCCGCTCATGAGTTGGTTCTCTCAGATGTTCCCATAAGGCATTCCTATTTTGTTCATCACCATAATCAGTTACCACCGCCGGATGTTCTCCGCTAACTGTCTCAGAATCATACTTGTAGATGATTTCCCAGGTTTCTTTTGTAACAACTTGTAGAAGTGTACGACTTTGTTGCTTTTCGTGGGGCTACCTATATTTTGTTCGGTAGCAGGATAAGCTTTGTAGGCCACACTGTTCTTCTCATCCTGGTTCTGCCGAAAAGATACATGTAATCCCCAATAATCTTCGGTCTGTTATTGCTTAGCGTTCGAAAAATATTTTATAGTTTCTGCTCTGAACCTGACTGGCTAAAATTCCTCTGCCTTCTAGTGGTCCAGAAGAAAATCGCGTTCCATTTTATCCATTTGTCCTATTCTACCAAATTTTTTAGCTCAATCATAAGATTTCAGAAACTATACGGCAACTGTCAACAACAATGGAGAACAGAGCAACAAAACCGCACAAAGATAGCATATCTCCAGTTCTGATGCAGCGTCTTCAGCAGCTGGAGCTGGAACTGGAAGAGCAAAACGAAGCAATTATAAGACAGAACGAAAGATCAAAATCCATGCATCAAGAAAGTCAGCTGTGGAAACTCCAATTCCAACAACTTCAGGAGCAAGCCAAGCAAGATCGTAAGACACTAGAGGACTCGTACAAGTGAGTGATGATACTTGGCCTTGTCATGGGTGGAATCCGATTTAAAATCACCGATCATCTGTTGATTATTTTGCTTTTTAAGAGAATCATTCGGACATACTCCATATGGCGCACTTCATCTCCCACTATAACGACCGGCTTTGATTTTATTGGTTCTGAAAGCACATTTTTATGTATGGTTGCGGTGAATTTTTCGAAAGTTCACGACAGGCTTCTTGGGGTTCACCCGGTTGGCGCAGTCCTCGAGTGTCCATGTACACATCTGTATGTTGCTCCCACGACGTACGCACGAGCAACTAGCGAAGGAACCTCGGAGGCAGGTATTTCGGAAAATTGAAATAAACATCGGTGTAGTGCAATCACCGACCTTCTTCAGAACCGGTATATCAATAGAGAAGGAGAATTGCTTTAAAGTGAATGCGTAACCATACAAGCCATGCACAGAAAAGACTTTGTACTGGTATCACGAAGACTAGAATCCATCCATAAGAAACAAACAGTATTGTTGGTAGTGTGAGGCGATTTGGGTTTTTTGTGGTGATTTCGTCCTGTACGTGAAGCCAATCTATGCTGAAAAGCCGAGAAGCACTGTATAGCCGTTCCAACTTTATTGGGAATCATCAGCAGTGCGCATCTCACGAAACTCCAGCGAGTCTCTAACCCGCGACCTCCCGGCTAGTAGTTTGAGCACTTCATCGTTCGGTCACAAGCGGCTTATCAGTAGTGTGATTAACTAGCACTTAGATAGCACATAGCGCCGCTCACCCTTCAATCACGGGATCTACATCACGCGGTCACACGTGTTGACTGGCTCCTCAGGCTACTTCTCAGTTTCATTCATCGGGTGAAGTTTATTCTTCCGACGAGCTACTTATAGTTTGTTGGTGGTATGAGGTTTTTTGTGGAGATTTTGTCATCTGAAAGTGGTGGTTGATGCTATCTTGAATAAAAGTTAACCTGTCTTTCAGTCCACGAATGGTCTCTATTTGCGCCGAAAATACCAGTGCTGATAAGTAGTGTGATTAACTCGCACAGCTAATAGCACCGCTCTTTCGTCAATCACGGGATCCACATCACGCTGTCACACGTGTTGACTGGCTCCTCAAGTGAACACTTCTCAGATGGAAGTTTCACTCATCGGATGAAGTTTATTCTTTAACTGAGCCACTGATAGATTGTTGACATTCATGTTTACGATGTTGCCTAGAAGCAGATTAAAAACGTGATGGCATTCTTTCCGTTTAGTTTCTCTTGCTCAGTAGTTTAGTGTTGATCAAGTTGAACACTTCAGAATTTGACCTTCAGATTTTTGTTTCGCTTCTGAGCGAGTCTATTAATAATATTCTAGTCTTTAACTCAAAGTCAATCATCCTTTTGTGTTACGGGCTTTATTCTGGTTCGAGCAGCAGATGATGTGGGATGTTGTTGAACAACTACCTAGAGAATCGTAACAGGCTGAGTGATTGGTGTAGGACTGAATCCGTTTACTTAGTTGACCTCTGCTGCTGGCTTTGTTGCTTCCTCTCTTTGTGCAGATAAGACGTATTGTCTTAAATTTGTATACCAACAGGTTGATAGCAGTTTGGTTTGAGTTAGTGCTTATTCCTTTCCTGAAATTGAAAAACATGCTTGGTGTTTTTATTTCACCTTTAGGCAGAAAGTAAGAAAACTCTTTCTTGCCTACCGCCAGCTCCGGTCGGATGTCGAAGAACGGGACAAAAAACTAGATGAAATGAAAACGGAGCTGGAGCACTGGAAACAGGAGGCGAAAAAATCACCATCAATGATGCAACGACAAATGAATGAGCGCCTAAAAGCTGATTTAACCGAGAAAAGCAAGCAGTTACAGGTATGGTAGTTGCGAATATGTGAACGTTTTCTGCCACCCTCTGATACTTCTTTCGTTGTGTTAACCTTGGAAACAGATGTATTTGTTCAAAGACTTGGCCGGAAAATTTGGGGGTGGGGAAAGTTTTGGATCTCGATAGAATCTTGAAGTGAGTCCTGCCCTTTACTCAGAAGCATCAAACTTTCGTGAGGCACTGAGTAAGCAGGTAAATCCTCCAGGTAGTTCGGTTGCGCTCAAAAACTTTATGGTTTTATGAAAATTGGAGAAATTCAAATGAAGGAGGCCATCTAGGTGCTAAAAATGTCGAGGTGGTGAGGAAACAAATGTTCACATTGCGGATTGGTGGAATAATGCTAACCTCAGGAACCCAAGAAATAGCGTAAATCAATGCTTCCGCTGAATGATTTTGGATCAGAGCTGATGGCAATCGCTTACAAATATTCGTTCGCTGATATTTTAGAATTTGATGATCACATTCCTGACCATTGTTTTATCAGGTTAGGTAGAATTAACGTCTGCGAAGGTAAGGTAATTGTTTAGTACAGAGAACATCACTTCACTCTGTCCCACGCCTCAAAACATCCGATAACTCAGATAAGAGGTTACTTGCCATTGCATAAAGTCTAATTCCAAGACCCTGATTGTACTCCTCACAGTCTCCCCAAAGTCTCTAGGTACCCTCAGCCCTCAAGGACTGTGACACGGGGTATAATAAATGACTGAGATTTTTATTTTCACCGGTGTAGAGTGGATTCATCTATTTTCATAAAGGAAACTACTCACAAGGTTGATGAAAACTCTTCGACAGTCCATGACCGGTTTCGCCCTCATCAGGTAGGCTCCGTCCCCGAGTTTCCGTCAACCTTATGTTCTACTTGAACCCAAATTAGACTGTTTTCGAGAAATACACTCATTTGCAAATCAATTTGGTTTTCACGAGAGACTCAACTGGATTCATTTATCTTGCAAATTCCTAGCCTTTTGGTGCCATTCCTTCTGGTCGAATAGAAACTACCATTTCGGTTATCTTCGAGCCCTCGTCGGGCATACTTTTTGGGCGTTACAGCCTCATTTAAACATCAATAAACCCTGGCGGTTTCGTACTTAGGACTTCCCATCTATTATGTTTGCTGGACTAAGTCAACCTTTAGAAGGAATTTGTTAGATTACTTGTAAAATAATAAATCTCTTGAGGAAGCAAAAAGGACTTGGAACAGGTTTAAAACAGCTATAATCATGGAGGTTGTATAGCCTGCAAGCATTCCAATGATGAACGCAAAGTGAGTCAAGAGGAAAGGCGTCCGACAGAGTAACGCAAGTTCAATCCCGAACGCCGTTCCACTTGTCTCTCTCGCACGATGAAACTGGTACCATGGTTTCTCTCTGGATTTTGGTTTACTTGGAAAACTTGTATTTCAAGCAGATAATGTCAATTTACCTTACGCTACGCTTCTGAGTTGGTATCACTCCTTGGTGACGGCACTGCATACGCGACTAGCCAAATTTTGATCTTTCCCTTGATGGCTGGAAGAGAGGCATAGATGGGATGATGCGCATGGGTAAAGACAACCGTATTCACGCAAAACATTTTCGTGTTTTTTGTGATAAGCTTGGTAGGATCGGCAGACCTGGTGTATCTCCTCAGAACACAATGGCCTTTGCAGACATAGATTGAGCGCTGCAAACTAAATTCTGGCCTTGAAAAAAGAGGGGAAGTCAATTCATCGAACGGTGGATTTTACGTTGACTTTAACACGACTATTCACCAAGTTATACATCAGTGCCTCCTCTGCATGCCTCACTCAACGCTTCTCAAGTAAGACTGCGGAGTGGATTGCCAACTTTCTATCAGACCGCCAGAGTTGTCTAAGCCAACGGCATATTCTTTCGACGCTTCAAGTGCTTTGTCTGATGGATTGATGACGTCAGAGCCTCTTATGTTCTCAAGAAACGGACAATGAGCCTCCATTCACGCAGTTTGCTTACTGAAACTGGATGAACTGGATGAACTTAGTTTGTTAACTGTAGCTTCCTAGAAGAATGATTTATCCTTCATAATCCGTATTGTGGGGGCCCACTATCAACTTCTGTGATCGTTTGATCCGCGTGGTTGGAACATACTGTTCTACGCACTGGTGGTAAGCGGTCAACAGCAATGTACTCAGAAACGAATGTCTTCGGATTGTAATGCTATCCTGGATAGCCGCAGGAGACATCCTTTTGGAATGTCTATTTTGAGTGACTATGTGATTGTTCTTCCAGGGTACTCCCCAAATATTCAAGACTCCATTTATTTCCCGTGTACAAGCAATTCCGGAACATGGCGGACTTCACTCCCCCGGGAATAACGGAAAACCTGATGGGTTAGTGAGAATTCTAAGGCGCGGATTTGGATCTGTTTCGGTCCTGCGCCCCTTAGGTTACGGTCAATATCCCCGCCAACAAGACCTAATTTCCATGATCTTTGGCGGCCTATAATGTCTGACTTCAGTGCGTTTTACATGGTGACGTAGAAGTAAAGCTTCGGTGTCGCACTTCCTTGCATTTGTCATAATCAACGGAAAGTGTTTAAACCACGAGGAGCTAAAAAGGGTTTCCTTGATAGCTCGCAAAACCTGTCTGCTTGAGCCCATCTCAACAGTGTAGGCCAGAATAATCCGATGAGACCAAAATCCAAATAGAGAGTGGGTCGAACAATGGTCTCAATACAGGGAAACGAATTCCGGAGACTCACACTGGCCTGCGAATCCCTGTCAGCTTTTTCGAAAGTATTGCGTTTTATCCATCCAACCATGATACATGTTTGAGAAAGCAACTAAAACTTAAGGAGTGATTTTTAATGACGTGAAAGGGATTCTTGTAAGTGGTGCCTCGGATCAATGGTCAGGCGTGGTTAAATCGCCATATCTCATGTTAATTGTTAATATACGTGTGAGTGAAACACTCGTCATTGCTTGATCATACGCAGTGAAAGGAACTATAGTGTGAATTTAGAACTGAAGCTTCATCACTACGTCATCAGAGAATAAAGTATGTTATCGGAATGCCAGTCTAGAGGTTGACCCAGAGAATAATCATGCAAATGGTTAGACAGAATCCAGGCACGCTATTTCCGTCCCAAAGAGAGCTACTAGCACACAGCAGCTTTTGGCAGGTGTGACAGCACTGACCAGCTCTTCTGAGAGGAACGTGTACTTCTGCACAGCCAATACAAGCGTACGCTGTTAGTCCACAACCCATAAATGCAGATTTCGCCTATTGTTTTCGTGCGTTCTCTAGAGTGTTTGAGCCACATGAATAGGCATCTGTTCTAGGGCATAACTGGGCATCTAGAAATCGAAGAGCTACATATATGACCGTCATACATCCAAATCTCCCGCTGAACAAAGTCACTAGGCTAGGCTGTTGATCAAATGCCACACCATCTTTCGAAGGTAATTTACCGAAACGCTCTCATAACAACAAAGTCAATCACACGTAGGTTAACTTAGTCATCAAGCTAACATCAAAATACCACCTGGATGTATTGAATTCGCCTTCATCAACCAATAACCACTGTCTAGGACAGACCTGAAAACCTGAGCGAGTATTACGACAAAATCCGACCTGTCAAACTCTTAATCTTGCAAACCATCCATTAGCACATTTATCTCACGAGAACTCACTTGAGAGCATTGTTGGCTTCGTTATCTGAATTCATGTGGAAGAATTCAATAGCTATCGCCAATACTTGGATAGCTTTGCATCTAGTTTGGCTGTCTGTCACCACTGAAAAACTCCAAAAAGTTTTGCTGCGTCTTAAAAAACTTGATCCAAAGTGGTTTGTGCAAAGCCTGTAGCCAAAATGAGACTTGTCTCTATCTTAAAAACAGACTAGCACCTATTTTGTTTCAACACTCAAATCAGGCAATAAGAAAATTCTACTGGATCAAATCAAAGTTACTGTTTAGATTGTGAGCTCAACGATGACACTCTTGTACGAGCGACTGCTTGCCATATCAGCATTGACGGTATTCATTGTGATAATCTGGAATACCTAACGCAGAAACATGGGTCTCGCACCAACTGATTCATTGCCACTTTAGGTAACTTTTCGGAACGCATATCTCAAGAAAGATGTTCTGGATTGAGTTTATGCTCTACAAGTATGATCCAACTGTGCTAATCTTTACTAGCTAAAGAGGGACTGTTTGCTTGGAAATCTTTAAGTTACATTTAGTAAGGTATTGCGAAGAGTTTGCAACATTCCTAACATTTTGTGCTTCTTTCTTCATTTTTAGGTCGTTAATATTACATCCTTAAATATTTGGTATTACGCAATTGCAAACTTAGCTGTGCCTCTTTCCACCGTAGACTCTTTCCAGGGCACTGGTAGAAGCCCGCCGAGAGTTTGTCTCACAGGCTGAAGAAGCTGTTCTGGCAGCCGCCCAGTCATCGACAAGAAAGTCGCTGAAACTTCAGGAAAAACCAGAATCACTGAAAGAAGCAGATATCATGGGTCGGGCTGTTCTGCAACTAGACCAAAGTCACCTTGGTAAGAGATGATTTTATCCAAATAAGGCACTATTTATATAGGTCTCAGAAAACACACAATGTATTGAGTTCACATCCTGCTGATACTTGCAAGTTCTCATACGTCTGTTTGCCTCTCTCAATCTTCACTCAGAGAATATTGAAAGGCTTTGCAAAAGATCCATGAACTGAGAGCTGCAGTTTGTTATGACCAGGAGATCCATTGATCGTAGAAATCGGCTGATCAGACGAAACCGCAAGAAGAAACATCATACTTTAAGCTAAGTTTAGTAGTTCTGACAAACAGATTTGTGCTTGGAAGTCGTAGCACCCTATATAACGACTGCTGATTGTACTTGGGGAAAACAGAGTGCGCGTAAACAGCTGGCTCAAAAAATGGGAACCATTTGGATTCTGTCCGTTCTTCTTTCATTCTTTTTCTTCCCTCTATGAACTGTTCATTACGACTGCTTAAATATATGCTGAACCTCTGCCTGTTTGCTTTACCCAGCAACTTATCAGCTGGACATCGTGCAACAGTTTCTTATTCACGAGGCATAGAGAATAATAAAATCAAGACAACCACTCATGGATTATGATGGCCTGTAACATTGTGTGTTAAGAATAGGTTATGGCTGCGAATTAAGGGGATCAGCTGGGACCATTTGGTGCCATTTGCCGGGTGAATCTGCCAAGGCTTTAGCTGGTTCGAATCATTTAATCATCTCGTCCCGGATTCATACCTGTAACGGCGTTTCGCCAACAAGCTACTGCCTCAGTTGACAAGAAAATCATGAGCCTGATAGAAGAAATTTTGGTCCCACTTTGAGTCATCTGGTTTTCTTGTTGATTTCTTGTTAGTACTGTAAAAGGCTGGGAACAACTAAGCATAAAGGAAACCGAATGCTATTGATAGCTTCTAAACGCCTCTACACGCTTCGAGATTAGATGCTGTTTTTAAGACGGTAACGTCGCTTGACAAAATTTGTTTTTGGTGGCCCGTTAGTTTGCCTTAGACACTGCTCCGAACGAATAACGTCCCTGGAAAATCAAACCAGCAGCTTTAGTACAATACTACAGTTGAGGTTGATAAAATCTCCTCGGTTGCCGGATCGAGACATTTTGAGACCCGTTAGTTTGGTCTAACTCACTAAATTTCACTGATCGGTTTTCCTGCTCAGAAAAGCAATCGGAAACAAAGGGGGTTTAAAAACTCATTCACAAATAAGTAGTGTCAACGCACAACCCAAGTAAGACGTAGTCACACTTGCCAACGTTAATTTTTAGTTGTGTGTGCTGCCTAAATTCCTCCCAACCGGGACAACATTTGAAATAACGCAGAACTCTCATCGTTACTAACGTATATAGCACGTTGACCAAACCCTTTCGATAGATCTTAACCGGGTGATGAACGTTATAAAGATGCAGCTGATCGGTCTCATATCAACTGACAGTTGATGTTTGCCTTTGGGCACCAATCCGAGGCATTTTAAACACAGTAGTCAAATGGCGGGACAGTTCACAGCACTCCGGCCAACAAATGATGCAAGCGGAATGTTTTCTTATCCATTTAATTATTGTGACAAAACCTGTGTTTTCATTTCTCTTAGCCTATTCCGCTACCAGACTAAAATACATTAGGAGAGCAAAAGAACTGGACTTACCGTACAACGAGTGTAGGTACAACCATAAATTAGAACTCGTATCGTAGCCACCAGAGTCAAACGTTCCCCTTCAGTACTCTTCGTACACATGGTATTGCCTTTTGATTTTAAATGAGCAGAGCTGTCCGATGGATTTCTTGTTTGAATTAAGGTTAGTTATGGTTTATCGAGAGGCGTTTAATAAAAGTGCCGACTAGATTTTCGGCACCGGCATACGAGCGTGTTCCATTGAGGTATTACACACTTCGCTGATTGTTGATAATCCAAACAAATTCGCCAGCATTCAACCCCTTAAAGCAAACCAGTGCAAAATAATTTTTTGAAATGTGTCGTTCTTTATGTGCATTTCCGACTAAAATTATCATGCTTTTTAAGCAGAGTCTCGGGCCAGTAATAACATACTATAAGAGACAGGGCAGTAATTATCGATTATTTGGAATTTGACTTTATTCCAACGCGATGGTAGATCTTATTATAAGTGTCCAAACGCAGTGACTCAAAAGGTTTTGAGTTTGCGGTCCACACTTTGTCTTGTCGCCGGTTCTACCAGGCTCAGCCCAGAAGTGATATATTTTGTTTGACCTAAGTCTACCCACCTCGTTACTTTCATATCTATTAGTCTTTCAGCATAAGAGACCAACTCTGGAAAGTGTCAAAAGTATCATTTACGATGTTGACCTTGTTGAGTTAAAGATGGAGATATCACTGAAGTCGCATTCTCTAAGTCCGCGAGCATCGGTATTTGATTGAGAAACATGAAGCACGTCTGGGACTGAGTAGTGAGGTCAAGATTTTATTATAATCTTCTGACAGCTCTATGGGTTGGATGAGAATTTAACGGATGGAATGTCAGTGATTCAAAACCAACTTAAACCTTTCGATTGCTCCTTGATGGGTTTACTCAGCCTCGTAGTATCTCGTGCTTCTTTCCGGATTTGTGGCACCTCTGCACCATAGCTGAACGATTTAGTCTCTTCCCTGATGTGTACGGTGCTTACGTGAATCTTACCATACGCCGTCTGCCACAACGCACGCAAACAAACAGGACATTAATGGCGTGTTCACAGACCATCCTCAGCCATTAGTGTGATATCTATATTTGAAGAAAAAAACTAAAAAGTCGACACTGGAGTCTGACGTAGGCTTTGTTTCTTTCGAGAGTCCCATCAGAGATGTGGCATGTGTAACGCTGGTTTTTTAACGATATCCCGTCAGCCTTTTATTACAAATGGAGGTCTACATACGACAAAGTTTTCTGTCATATTGCAGAACTGGTTATAGCATCTCTCTATCTGTCTCCCACTTTGCGTCGAGGAACAAATGTCATCGTTTGTCGAATGACCGATAAAGGATGTCGTCTTACCAAGAAGCGCCGTCTCTTCAAAGAAGCTTAATTTTAGGCGGTTTGATAAACCACTGTATTTGCACACTTTTATCACAACTCATGACGGTTTGTTTACGATACTACTGAAAGTACAGCTCAGTAGTTCCGAGCAAAAATTTAAAAGGAATTCTATCCCGGTTGTTCCCTTCAGTCGAGATCACCAATCTGAATAAAAGAGCTGAAGAACTGGAGCTCAAATGTCGGGGGCTCCAAGAGGAGGTGAAGCAGGTAAAAAAGCTCCAGGTGAGTTAAAAAACGTTTGTACCGCTGCTCCGCATTCACCTGATGTTTTTGTGGTGCGTATTGAAGGTAGCTATGAATGAAGGTAGCTATAAATGGTATATACATATATATATATATATACCTTACGCGATGGTTATCAATACTTCGCAGATTGAAAAATCAGTGGCATGGTAGCAGCGAGCAAATAGAAAAAGAGTCCACTTGTTAGCTTTCGTCCAAAAAGCACCCAACTACCTCCTTCCAAGAGACCATTGCTGAACAACGCCAGAGAGGAAATTTCTGCCAATTAAAATCAAAACCATCTTAAGATGAATCTTTACGATAACTAACTGGTGAATAATCAATACTGTACAGGTATCGATTCCTGTGCATGAGGCTGGAAAAATGTATACTCATATCCATTTACGTCACTATTGAAGTTGCCGAAAAACAGATGCATAAACTACGGATGTATTGCTAGTTTCTGTAAGATCTAAAACTATACCAACCGTGGTTACACTGATATACTATACTTGACTCGGTTCTCCAGGAATCGCAAGAAACACTTGGCTCCATTTTGGAAGAAACTGGAAAGTTATCGCTTAGAAAAGTTGGAATTTATCATAAAGAAACCATTAGACCATCAGTATTGTCGGGCGCTCACTATTAGGTGATTGGATGAGTGAGTTATAAGTCAGCATTTATTTGATAATCCAATAAATACGGTTGATTAAACCCTACGAAGTCTGTTCAAGCTGCAAGGCCACAGCTTTATAGAGTCTTGATAGGTCGTGAAAGGTCGTAGGTCAGGTAGGCTGAAATTAAATAGCTGTTTAGGGACTGTATAAAATGAACAAAGATCTGCTGAGTTGACTCTTATAAAACTTCTCCAAGAATTGTAATTCTTTGGCGCATTATAACTTGGAAGAACCAGATGACTACGTATACAGAGCGGATGTAAATCTATGAACTCTCCTTAGAATCCAATCTGTGCTTGATTCTTCAAAACGGAATTCCTTTTTATCAAGTTTCACCAAGTCCAAGGATTTGAGCATGGTGAAAAATGATAAGCAATCGGCAGTTAGGATCGAAAATTTGCTACGGGAACAACGAATTCCGGTATCCGCCATCGTTAAATGAACACACTTAAGTTGTGATAAGCCAAAACGTACTAATTTCTCAAAGTCTGCTGTCCTCTGACCGTTTTGAACGGAGTGCGCATCAACTGGGTACAACCTTTTATCCCTCCAGTGATTTCTGAATATTTGTTAGGGAATTGTTTTAAATAACTGCGGCAGAGAATCCCAAAAGTGTGGCCAGACAAGAAAATACCTGGTCAGGAACTTCATCTTTCTTTTTATGGACAGGAAATACTCTATTCAAGGATTAGATGCAGGTTAACTTTCGATTCCTCACGAATCAACTTTTTAAAATCTGATTTATGCATGAAGTAACGGAGTTCCTCTAGTACTTGACGCATTTTCGGTGTTTCCCTTATCTGCAATATGTAGGTTACTTAGCTCTTTGCCCTGGTGTTTTGACTCGGGTTCTCACCTTTCTTAAGTACACACTAGAAAAGCTCGCAACAAGCAATCAAAAACCTATGCCTTTGAATAAGACTGTTTTGCTCTTTATTATCCCAACCCCTTGCCTCCTGCTGTTATGGCAGCTAGGCACCGAAAGGGTGCTGAAGCTGGAAGATTTTTTCCAAGTAACTTAACGGGAATAAAAATTTGACTTGAGGGATCTGTCACGACTGGCCCGGAGCTCTTGTAAGTGTAAGCTTGCCGTTTAAGGCGAGTTTCCATTCTAAGCACATGAAGCTAGTCCATGGGGCGTTTGTGAGTCACGAGTGGACGTGATGACCAGTGGTCTGCTTTGTAATATCTTGGAAAACTTTTAAACTATATGAAGTTTGCATTTTGAACTCCAAAAGAACCCATATCAACATTTCGACATGCCAGGCTTATAAGCGGAACCCTAAAAGCCAAATGTTCCGCACTTCTTCCCCAGTAGCAACTAACAGTGAGATATCGAATGGTAATGAGACTGAACTCTTCTCTCTCTCAACGCATACGTACCAGCGACCGAGAGCTGGCCATTCCTCCTCTGACCGCATTCACTATGCGGCTTGGGAATTTACGATGGAGACATCATCTATCCGGTCAGATAAAAGTACAAGTACAATCAGTGACTATGGTGAAAGCGAAAATGAGCATCCATTCCTAACGAATCTAGGGCTAACACTTGCTCAGCAAAACCCCAACTTGCATAAAATGATGGACCTCTCCAGACTAATTCTTGAAATAGCAGGAGTCTCCTAAAATCCCTCTGAGATGCCACTGCATATTATAAAAGCTTACATGGTTGTTAACAAAACAATACAAAATTACTCCGGTGGCCACAAATGCTATCAATTTAGGAAAATTCAGTTCACTTGTAACTGTTTTCCTTTGGAAAGGATGGTCTTGATGGTAGCTTTCTAGAAGCTATCACATCTAACTGGTTACCTGATTTGTAAATTGCATTCCAGAAGCAACATCGTAGCAGGGACACCTTTGGTCCGCCCCATGTTGTAGTCTATCCAGCGGCAGTAACATCAGCCGATGATTCCCCCGTTTGCATTCTAATAAACATTCTAGTCATCCGTTCTCACTCTGCCACTCCCACATTCCTCCATAAATTATCCATCCACTCAACAGACAACATTATATACCCAGCTCTCGGTCATACAAGCTAGATATAGGGGTGACCTCGACGGTCTCTTTGTCTACAGCTACAGTGGTCATATTAGTCTGTATCCACATTGATATTAGAAAAGTCGAAGTTTTGTCGGCCATGTGGAAACAGTGTAATCACACTCATTTCGATACAGTAGGCCTACGAATATTTTCTACAGTGTTTTCTCCCGAAAACGTTAATTCCCAACTCAAGAAAGTTTCGACTTAATAAACTGTTCATTGTATTGACCGGTGCACACCGAACACTAAATTGCATAAGAGAGTAGGGACATAAACACACGCGAGAAACAGGCGAAAAATTACGTGGCATTGCCGGTATGATTGAAAAATAAGACCATTCTAATTGCAAACCAGAAGACCTTCAGCACAAGTAACATCTTCTTTGAAACAACTCTGTGCTTTGAAGCACACATCAAAAAAGGCGGAGTGCTCCCACAATCCTATTACAACAAGTGTTTTGTATAACATACGTACTTTGAGAAATTAGTTACCGTTGCATACATTCGGTACTTAACCGCAGACCAACGGAACCTTTGTTATGAAAATATTCCCGGTGTACCCATGCGAAAAAACACCATCCATCTACCCGTGGTGACTGAAAGTAGATTTTTCTTTAGGTTTTATCCATACCCGATTTGCAAATTAACGGATAGCCGTGTGACTTCTTCTAGGGTTCACCATGTATTGCTGAGTTCCTGTCTGGAAACGACAGAATATTTATGAATATATATTCAGATCAGGCGACAAGTTCTGCCTGGCCTGACATCCACCTAGGTGTCTGAGGAAAAACCTAAGGGTCACTGAAAAAGCGTGCTCAATAATGAATCGAATGGAACTTGCTAGTGCTGTTGTCTTTTACTCGAAGTAATGTCGGAAGGCGAATAACACTAACAATAAACAGTTATGTATAGTGGCTACCAGAGACACTAGTACAATTGAATAATACACAAAAAGGAAAGAGACTTATCGAGTTCTTCGTCCAGCCAATGTTTACGGTTATCCGTTTGTACATTCCTATATGAGGCAGAGAGTAACCTTGCGCAGTTGATAATCTAGAGACACCACTGTGCAATTCTGAGCTTAATGCATTATCTCTTTAGTAATGTTGAAGGTTTACCAAAATGTTGACCGTTAAATTCTATTTGTTGCTCAACAAAATGTCGTATGTAATCCAGGTAATTATTTATTTCTCCGCCAGTCTGTTTGGTGTTGTTCAGTTTCACCTAGCGTAAATTCTTTCCGTCCTATTTGTTTTGTTTTATTCACCACACATTGAAGGAGAAGGTGCAACAGATCCATAAAGCAGAACGCGCAGATCGGGAACGTGTGTTGGCTGATAATAAACTGCTGAAAACACAAATAGATTCGAAATCCTCAGCTATGGAAAAACTGGAAAGTCAGCTAAATACAGTCAGCGTGGAACTGGAACGGACAATAAGGTGAGCCAAAAACAACAATCACATTGTATATTTTGATGAGATTCCCCGTTGCGCATGCCCTCCATAGTTCCAAGTTTTAGAGATTTGCCGTGATATATGGTCTTTTTCATTAGCAAAGACGAGCTACCAACAACTTCAGACAAAACTCAATGCATCTTCATCATTTTAGAATGTTATTCATTGTTCCTCCAGTGAGCAGGCAACCAGACGTTAGAGTTATTCCTATTGGGTGAAACTGGATTATTAGTTTTGGATTTGACTGTAAAAAAATTGGGACCCGTTCGTCTTTAGTGCTGAGAAGCCATTCTTGTCAAGAAACTCAGTTGTAATTCCCAGCTTTAAACCTCTACAGCTATCGGTGGGATGCGCAAGGTTGATGAAGCCCAAGAAGACTAAAACACCTGAATCGTACTTCTCGGCTTTGCAGATTAAACTAAGTTCCCTTGAAGAGTGAAGATCCATAGATAAAATGTCAAGCAGTGATTTAATTCAAGATCTCGAATATCGTTTCAAATGAAACAGAGGTGGTCTGTTTGTGATGCATTTACTTCAAGATTACTATAACTGACAGACGGTCAGGTTTTACTGGGTGCGCTTGTCAATACCGACTTCATTTGCAAACGGGTGTGTTTCGCCACTTGCGTGTGTTTCAGGTAGAACTGAAGACCGATTATATCCAGGGACAACACCTATCCACTGAGTCCCAAGAAGGAAGAAACAAGCCATGGCTGTCGGAGTTTTTCACTACCCTGTAATTACTATGCTACGTTAGTTAGGCGGCTTTTTCACAAAACAAATTTATGAGCGTAATTTAACTACTAATAAACTGACTAAGTAGTATGTGCTTTGAACAGTACTTGATACGACACCATGAATGGGCTCGACACTGTGAAGTTGTACAGGGACGGAGACAATCCATTGAAAATGATATAATTAGCGTTATTATTGGGTCATTCCTATGTCAGTCCCTTCTCCTGGCGTGTCTGAATAGTTCTAATAGCGAATAGCCTTTGGCGGTTGAGCCTCTTGAAATCTTACCACATTTCTTGAATCATCCAGTCAAAGTCAGAGTCCATGGTATGGATATTTTTTCGGTGCTCCAAGTGGACTCACGGTCATCCGGCGTTTTGCTAACATCCAGATTATATGAATGGGTCAACACCCTATGTCAGTATTCCCCGTGAAAACCAAACTGATATGCAAATGATAGAGTTTTTCGAATCAGTACAATTTAGTTTCAAGTGGGAGGCAGCGTCTACCTGATGATCCTCAAGGAGAAAAAACCGGTCATGGGCTGTCGACGAGTTTTCAGTAACATGTTGAGCAGTTTCTTTCGTCAGAATATGCTGCGATACCTCGTATATCGTATGGATTGTAGCATGAGACGTCCTTTATGCAGCACATTCAGTTGAATAAAAATATAAACGGGAGACCGAAATGAGCCTCTCGTGATAACCAAATTGATATGCTAACGAATTCATTTGTCGGAAAACTTCAGCGTCCTGTTACGCCCTAATTAAACTTACTGGATGATTTAATTAGTCGGAATTTCAATATGAGTTCTGTTACATTCATTTTAAAATGTGTGATCGTGGGATGCAGAGTGGATCCAAAAACACATGCAAATTCCAGCAAGTAGCATGGCTTACTGGTCGGTCCACTTTTGCAGCGTATCTGAGCGTGTAGTTCTAGCGAAAATTTGCAGTTTTTCACTTACTAGAAAAAATCGGTTAGCTGTTATTCGAATGGGAAATTAAACCTCAATATAAATCAGACGACGAGAAAGGGAGGCTTCTTCAACCCGGTGGATTTCAGTATGCTCAAGATGTTGCACAACATATCGTTTCAGTAAGTATCATCTACATTTTAGGAAAATAAGATATGTCCTTGATGAATCCATTTGTCTCCCTTCCAGAGAGAATATCGCGTTGCGGGAACAGTGGAACAACTTTGCCGTATTACAGCCACAGATTGATAACCCTGATCTTTATCACGAAAAACCTGAAAAGCCGTGTGCTGAACAAGTGGAACGCATGGGAGCTTCTAGGCAGTCCAGCCCCGTACTTCAGTCAGCTATTGTAAATTCATCGGAACACATGGTTCGTCTTTAAATTGATACGCTGTGGCATAAATGGTTAAGTTCATTCATGGTAGCCAAATGTATCAAATTAAACTTTGGTGAAATGTTTAAAACTCCTTCCGTCTATCAAATTCGTTCATGTTTCACACTTTCTAAATTCCGAGAAATATTCTCAAATCAAAAAATCCTTTGTTTTCTCATCCAGGATGATTAAGTGATTGCCGGAACAAAACGGTGTTATTTTTGCTTCCGTTTTACTAACCCTCAGATCTGCCCTGAACTTGAAGTAGGCAGTGATCTTGATGCAAAATCAATGTTGGTTTTAGCAAACGGCATAACGTACCAGACACAACCCCCTTGAATTCATTACGTTATTCGTGAAAAAAGTTGTTCAGATGTAGCATCATTTTGGTGCCTTACTGCCATGCTACCAAAAGGAAGCACGAGGACTGGGAGATTGCCAGGTTGCCCAAGCCTAGACAGAGGAAGTCGAGAGGCAAGGGTCGGATTCGAACCACGGACCTTCCGATCAAGTAAATTCTGCTCTTACAACTGAGCCATTACATTATTGTTGCATAATTTACAAAACCTGGACATTTTGAAAGTTAGGGCTTCAATCCGCACTTGATACCGATTAAACACTGTGTATGAGAGACAACAGTTGAAATGACATAGCTCAAGATCTTGTACTCAGGTTAATTTTGTCCACCTTTTCGTTCCATACTTCTGTTAGTATTGCTGTATACACATTTGGTCACTCAGATTTAGTACGTTCCGATAAGATCCTAACTACAACTAGACCTCAGCGTCCTGGTCTTATATGTCATTCACAGATCCCATAAGTCAGAGAAAATCAGAGGAAATTTTAAAAATTAAACTATAGTTGGTTGATCTTGACAGCAGTCACGCGCCATCCTCCATCATGCTCATTCTGGTCAGCTTTCCCTTTAAAAAGTGTTGGGCCTAATTCACTTTGCTTTATTGCAACTGACTTTTATAAAAAAAAACTAAGCAACCTGTACGAATATTACGATCACCTGCCAAGAATGATCTAGGACCAATATATATTTTTAATGCGGAGCAAATTAGGCAGAATGAAAACAACAATGATAACATCTGTTTCGGGGGTAGGCAACCAGTTCTTCATTTCACTCTTCAGCTTGACACGCCAGTCAACTCTGACACAGGTCCGAATTGAGGTTGTTCGTCCATAGTTCGTCATTTGGACTACGGAAGAGTTTACTGGATGTGTACAAGCAGTTTAACATACTCCGGCAGTGTTGTCGGACTGCTTAGGCACTAGTGTACCTCCGGTTTCCTCACATTTATCAATCCAGGCGGCCAGTTCTCGCATAAGCCAATAGTACGAACAGTAAAGAGGCACAATGGACACACATTTCTGTTAGGAGGCCAGCATTCGACCCACATCACCAGGCCTACCGCAGATACTTAAATTCTTTCACCGAGAGGATTGGAAGTGGGTAGCGCAACAATATTTTACTATTTGTGACCCTTTGGATAAGAGTTGGTCTGGATTATGTTGAAAACGAAAGTAGGACTTCCTTTTTAGATGATTATTTTATCGACCTTTAGTGTGTCTCCTGCCTGACTTCTCTAGTTTTCACCTAATACGACGTTATATACGAGCGATTGATTGCAAAATTTGTACCAAGTAATCCATGTGATTAGACTGTTTGGCAACAGCACAGTGGCACCTCCAACACTGACAACTCTCTAATCAGTTGCTCAGAACGAACGTCCGATGCTGTACATCCAAGCAGTCGTTGACTGTTTGATTCCAATCTCGAGGGCATTATGTCGGCGTATATTCCCTCAGTGGTCATTCTTCGCTTTTGCAGCCTCCTGGTAGGTGACGTAGGTCGTCTGCCTCAATGATTATCCGAATGAAATCGATAGTATAATCAACACTCACATGGCCAAGAACCTGACCAGTGGGATCGCCATTCACCTCATTGATATGGACTACCAGGCGAACTTAATCGAATCGTTCATAGTGACTGACTCGATGTCGGGGTTCATTCTTTTACCGAAATACACTTGAGACGAAGGTTATTCGGTCATATATCGTCTACCTAGCTTGTGTAGTTTTCAAGTCTGTCATAAATCACCATTCATATAACTCAAAAGACTGAATAGATTGTGTCAAATCAATGTTCGTGCTTTAATCACAGTCTAACCGCACACCTAAATAGACTGTTTAGATAGCACTTATCAACAAATGCGTGCTCTTGTCTATGTGAGAATGAACGAAACCCCGCGATGCCAGTCAGGATTTGCAAGGAACAAAAGAAAGTATAGAAACCAAGTTAACAGAAATAACAAAGCCCTCTGGTCTCCAGGGTGACGGATGTCCTAAGAATGCACTCGGAATTCCTGACACCCATGAGTATATCAGACCTTGTTTAATCACAGAACATAACGCACATAGCACTCTGCAGTTTCAATCGTCCTCAAACAGCTGTCCGAACTGCCACTACCACAGTCTGCAAAGTCCGTGGGGCGCATGTTTTTTCAACTGTGGCTGGTCACTCTCCAAGTCATGAAGATGGAGAACGTTGTAGGTTTTTTTCGTTGCTCAAAATGTTCGAACAAGTGGGTTGTCGGAGTGGCCTTATAACTGTGACGCTTTCTTAAAGGCCCGTGACAGTTTCCAGATGGAATTTGTAGATGGAGAGTGAGGGTACCCACGTCTGATCTAGTTTCTTGTGCTGCACCATGTTATGTTGAGTTCATTGTCCCACATTTTGTCGAGAACGACATGGAGGCGCTCGACGGAATTGCATTGCTTAGTGATTTGCACGTCGTTTGAATACTATGATCGAGTAGAAACAACCAGGCTTTTGGACTCGATTCACCGGAAGGTATTGCAAATGCCCTAATCCGGAAGCTTCACCTGAACAACCCACAGTGAGTAATAGTCAGCCGATTAGGAGTGGAGCAATAAAAAGCCATATTAACAAATGCTTGTCACAGTCAATCACACAAAAGAGGTCCAGAATTGCGAAAACTTTTAATTGATTCCCAGTGGGGAAACACGTTTAGAAACTGGGAATATTTTCACACAGGGTTAGGATCCAGAAAGAACATCTCACATCATGCTGGTCAAATATCGTCAACGGGCAACCAGGTCAATGTGGATGCCTAAGATTTTCTCCTTATGATGTCACGCAATATTTTTAAAAACGAACTGGCCGCGCATCCATAAATTTACCTGTTCCAAACAGTATTAAATAAGTGTCAGAAATGACCTGGGAAAAATTCCGGTGTTTGCGCACCTTACGTATCTCAGTCCTTCTACTGTGTCGGATCAGCTGTACAGGGTCAACTCTTCCTATTGTATGGAAGCGTACACATGAAGGCTTGATGGATTCAATGTTTGTTTTCATAATCCCTGAAATGGGACCTCAAAGTTCAAAATCAACCATTCATTGGCCGAACCGCAACTTCGGGAGTGCATAGGATCATAACAGTAGAAATGTAAACGCTCTATCCATCTTAAAAATATGGGCGTAGTTCAAATAGACGTTAAACAGGCAGATACCTCAGTTGGACGAGAAAATCATCCATTATGAAAAATGCTAATGTAGCAAAACGAAACTGCTGTACAGGGTAGAAAATTCTGGCGACCTCCAAGTGCTTTCAACCGACTGATTCGGTGAGTAATTGTGGTAGAGCTATCAGATTCATAATGTGGTTTGGGCAGTTTGGGACAACATCATAGACGAGAGATTCAGCTGGGCTCCAGATGAATCTGTCACACAACCAAATTTGTTTGCAAATAAGTGTATTTCGCCAATCTCGTGCAAGTTGAGTTCAAGTAGAACATAAGGTTGACGGAAACTCGGGGACTGTGCCTACATGGTGAGTCCCAAGAAGGAGGATATCGGTCGTGGACTGTCGAAGGGCTTCAGCAACCTTATGAATAGCGTATTACATCTATACTGAGTGCTCCTTAAAATTGTGTTCCTTGATGTTGTGGTGTCAAAGAGCTTACTGGTGACAGAAGTGCGATAAGCGACAATGAAACCAGTGGAGAAACCTCTGCATTACCTGAAATGCTACGCATCATGTCAATATGGGCAATTTAGCGCCAAGTCAATAGGTTAGCTAGAATGGATGAAGTTTAAAACAAGTGAAGACCGCTTTGAAGCCCATGTAGTCAGTGTGGGCGTTGCTAGCCAACGGTGCCATTGTTATACCCCCGAAAAATCACTGACCTTATTCCGTAAATTCGAATTGATAGACTGCATTTTCTCGGCGAGTAGAAAGCGCTAATACAGCTGAACTACAGATATGGAACAAGACTGTATGATGCTATAAGCTCGGATCTTTCGGAGTGAATTCCTCTTCTGCAGAATTTCTCGTATGAGTGAATGCTCTGATTCGGTATCGAGTTGTTATTTCTAGAGTGGTACCACCGTTCCATGATCGATGGTCACTGAGTGCGTAACTGAATCACTTTCGCTAACTGAACTGCCACTGTATACGAACTTCATGAAAGAAACTCTTTTCTACCGACAGAACACTGTTACAGTTTCCATGACCTTCCTTTATCATTTGTTGACAGGACTCGGAGGCGCATAATCGCATTACGAATGACAGGATAAAATACCTGGAACAAGAACTGCTCGATCGCGGATTAACCAGTCTAGCCAAATTGAAAATGGATCGAGACGTTCAAAATGATCGGCTACGGTTGATTCAAGAGAACCTCGCTCAAAAGTCTGAATTGGAAGCTGCGCGCGAAGAAATTCCCAAACTGAAGGTAATTATTCTAGAGCTTTATGTTTGTTTAACAAGTTATTGCCGTCCTCCTTACAACGTAAATGTACGGGTACAGTGTAACACTACACGGCCAATTTCTCATTCGTGATAGTCAGGGAGACAGCTTGATGCACGTGATAATTGCAAAGGCATTAACAGAAAGTTCCTTTCCTGTAAATGTAGTAGAAACGGATATTTGGGAAATTCTGAGTATGTAAATGGGGCTCGAACCCTTACCAACAGAGTGTTCTAACAACTTAGTTACAGCAACTGCTCCCCCACGTGTTCATTTGGTTTCCATTTTGATTGACCACACCTGTGCCTGATGGACAACAGATGAAATCTATCGTTGAAATTAATGAGCTCCTTATAGTGGATCAGACGAAGATGTTGCCCCAATACACCAATGAAAGTGGTTTCCAGTCATTGTAGGGGAGAAAAGACCTGAATCCAATTCGGAATTACATCTTTTGTGACATATGTTTGAAAAAACTGCGGTTCGATTTGACATGTGGTTTCGCTCAACGTCTTTTCACTTTAGACGAATGTACCATTCGAAGAAGCTACATACATAGTGCGTGAATATGCACCTAGTTGCCTTTCTAGCCGATAATCCCAAATACTAAAGTTGGGTCTCTCGTCAGTAGATTTCTATCTGAACAGGTTGAGGATAATGGGAAGCCTACTCGCTTCACTACTTACTAATATTCTCATGGGCTACCTAAAAAAAAGCTAAACTCCATGAAGAGATATTTTGACGGCATTTTGTTGCTGTTCTATTGGTTGAACCTGCTAACAAACCACTTGAATTATCAAAATGTTGTCACGCTAATATTGAGTTCACTAATGAACACGAAATCGAAAGGACAATTCGCACCCTCGAAGGACACCTAAAGAACCGAGGAGGTGGAACACTCCGTGTTCCGCAAGCCAACATAGATAGGTCAGTTCCTGTAAAATATCAACAACCAGAATCGCTAGATGATGGAATCAGTTACCCTATGAAATTAATCGTCAGTAAGTTGAACACATTGAGGAAAAAGAGATCTCTTTGGTCCCTATGATGAAACGTACCTGAAAATTTGGCATTAAATGATATCGGAAACGAGAGACCTCTCAAGCGTACCACAATGCGCATAACCAAGCCCACTTTTCTTTCTTTTGTTCGCTCGCAATTGTGCACAAAATTGGACACTTGTCAGATCCTAACTTATTTCAACCCGAAATTCACGTTAACTCTAGCGTATTTATCGTTTTTAATGTTTATGTCATCAGCTACATGCCGCAAACTGAGTGAAGGGTGTCGACGAGGATTTCTGAACAAATTCCCAATGTTCATGTACTAAGTGGGAGGAAACCGCCAGCAGACCCCATCGCATGTCACTGAAAAGTCACAAACCGACAACTTCATTATTACGGTCAAGCTCCCCCTGACTCGCGAAATTTGCCTAACAGATAAAAAGCATAAAAAGTTTCTGAAGGCAGAGTTACCCCTGGTTTCCCAGGTACTTAATGTAGTGGACGTCTGTGTTAGTCTCAAGCAGACCTAGAAGATTACGTATATTCTGGGAGGTCCCGTGTTAACCAAAACTGCAGATTCGGACATTTTATAGGTTCTTCTATTCACTGTGCGCCTTCATGCCCTTGATTGGACAGCAGTTGTTTGCACTAATGGGGAACCTAATTAGTACGAAGTTCGTTCTCTGTTTCTAGTGACACACCGAGTTTTCGGGAAAGCGTGGAAAACCTAAAGTTACGCTTATGAGATTGGATTGAACGAATTGATTGCAATAAGCCCATCAAAACTCCCAGGTCCAGTACTGTTTGTACCTAGTGGCCGGTACAATGTCGCCCCTCATTCAAAAATTACCGTATAGCTGGGCATCACATTTTCATCTGCTAGTCATATCTATGACGTGATCAGCTCCTTCAGAGGACCGAGTCCACTTGTCTTGCTCGAAATCCTAATAGCGAGGGGTTGTGAAAAGGTGCCTCAATCAAATGTGACATTCCCTGATCAGTAATGTTGATATGGTTTACTAGTATTTCTGGAAGCCATTATTGGCTTCGCCATTCCTGAGGATAAAACCTAATAAGCTGATTTCCTTGAATATAATTCCTCAATTAGATCCAAACGGTTGAAATGAGGGAATAGATTCAAACTTTGTTCTATGGAACGAAATTCCATGGAGTAGAGGCCTGAAGGCGTTCTAGACAGCTCCTACAGTGGGTTAGCTCAGTTGTGCCGAAATCTCCGTCGTTCGAAAAGGTTAAATAGCAGAACAAATACCACATGATCTCTAGGAACCTCAAAGAAAGGAGGAGAGACTAGCTTCGGAGTTGCCTGTTATCGAACGCGAACCAAACAGTGACGAGCTACTGGACACGAAAGTAACCATCTCATCTGCACAGAGTTTTTAAAAAGTGGACATTCTTAGGCGTTCTGTCGAACTTTCCTGGACTTCCTTTGAATACCAAACAATTATAAACGAACATTGAACGGCGGTTCCAAAATTTCCATGGTAACCTTCACCTTCCGTCAGTTTCAGGAGAAGAGAGCGGACTTCGGAGAGTAGACTACTTATTTGTTTCACCAGCGGTATAACCCGTTACACCGGTGTATTAGTTCGAATAAGTGAGATAGCCGAATAAATATCACACGAGTTTTAGAAACCCCGATGTCTCGTCAACACTTATTCTCATGTTTCTCTTTCTTTGATGTTTACTTCCCCCCTGTGTATCATTTCTGTCGTCAGAAGCGCGTGAATGAACTACAAGCACTGGTGGATAAATTGAAAAATCAGAATAATGATGCTGAAATGGTGCAAAATCTGGACAGATCCACGAGGAACCAGGACAGTAACACAGGTAGCAGTCCTCGAAAAGTAAGTGACAGAGATTTACCACAAATTTCGTGAACAGACAGTCAGTCAGAGGGAGGAATACACAGAGTCAAATTTAGATTAAGTTACTATGTTTTCCTTCAGGCCTCGGGAAGATCATTTTTGACGCTTCGCGAGCTTATTGGACAACCATGCACATTTTGTATGCTTCTTGCAGTCACCCAAAAACTGTTTGGCCTGTTGCACTCCATGAGCCCCAGCGTGGTCCATCATTCGTTTGACTTCATCCATTGTCAGTCCTTCGGTTTCTGCATGCTGCTTCAGATGTGCCACAACCAAATTGTAGTTGGCCAATGGGTCTCCCTTTTTTGCAGCCTTTCGCAGCCAATACACAGCCTCCTGGATTTCGTCTTCGGTTTGTGCTCCTTGTAGCAAATGTTGACTCAGCAAATTTTGTGCTTGCTGCGGACAAGAGGCAGAGAAAGACTGAGGTCGATAAGACAGGGGGATAAATTGGAGTTGAGGCGAACTGCTGGAACGGCCTCATTAGGTTTGCATGTGGAGGGTGAAGAACTCTCCACTCTAAGAGCAAGCTTACAAGATAAAGAAGAGTAGTTGGTAAAACAGTAGCTTTGCCTGAAAAGTATTGGACTTTCTTGCACATGCATTCGTCTACAAAGTAGAACCCAAGGTGCCCTGCACAGCTTCCCACTTGAGTTTCCATTAGTGTCCATTAGTGTTCTCTGGCTATCTACGCCAGAAATTTTTTAACCTGAATTTCAGATCGGATGGTGTTTTCAAATACTCTCCATGGACTCGCGTAAGGGGTATGTTAGTGCTCTACTAGAACCCAAAAATCAGTTATATGAACGAGAAAACGGGGAGCACTAATGACGTCAGCTTGTTGAATAAAATTATTACAACAGGTATATATGCGAACAAGAGACTTATCATACTGCAGATACAGGTAGATAAATCCTGTTGCAAGTTCGGATACATGTTTCGTGCCTTCTTCGCTGTTGTAGCGGCCGCACGTACTTCCTGACTAATCGTGAGTGAAACGCCATAAGTCCTGAGCGGCTCTGCTTCGAGTCGGGCGATGTGCGAAGCTCTATTGGGTTGTGTTGTGTTGTTGTCCAATCTGTAGGAACGTTTGCGTGTGTGTGGGTGTCAGTACATGACTTGTTGCTACCTTATCAGACGGTAGGGAGTATCGATGTCAGATGAGTCACTGTTGTGTCGTGATTTGTGTACGGTAAGAAAGGTGATCAAGGGCTTGACTGTGAGCTGTGTGGTCAAGTGAGTCACGATTCTATGGCGTGATTTGTGAGTGTAAGAAAAAAAGACAGATCTCGTGATCTAGCGAGTGGCGGTGACCTGTACAGTCATGTAGGTGGCGAGAGGGTTGCTACAGTTATCGCTCCACCTTAATGTTGAAGACATCCTTATGCACTGTATACTTTCAACGAATGCAAGAGGATACGAACTGTTGAAAATGAACCTGTCCTATCCTCATTTGTTCTCAAAGTTTCGGTTAAATCTATCTCATTTACCCAGTCAACAGTTCAAACTTCTTGAGCCCAAAAGAATCTTCGTTTCCTCCGGTCTGGTTGGCTGTCACACCAGTCGAGTTGCTTTAATTTACTTACTTTGCTTTACTTTCCATCGCATCAAGCACCACCAACTCCCGTAACCGACCATAGTGAGCAGTGAAAAACTTGCTCTTTGGTGTGCCTACCTGAACCCAACATTCACCCTGAGTCGGTGCGCCGCACCTCTTATGTTATTCAACCTAACTGTCCTTCCTATGGTCTCTACTAATTAGTTCTTTGAGATACAGTGTGATCTCAACAACTTGTGCTGACAGTTGAACTTGGTACACGTAACATAAAACCCGTCTGAGAATGTTCTTAGTTCCGTAACTATTTATCAATGTTCCAAATAAAATCACATCCAAGACTCACCGTTGACCCCATTTTAGCATAGAACCGAGTAATATTCAGGTGCAGCTCATCAGCGTAGAGGTAAGCGAGAACCGCGCCGGACAGGGCAGCAACAATCAACGTAACTTCAATGAAAACAGTTGTCCAGCTTCCTGGCTTCTTACGCCTTGCAAAGTTCACTCGGTCCACATAGGGCACATAAACCGAAGAATTCTTCTTTCTGAAAGAGCCAGAAGAAGGTCCAAAGGGCGAAATATTTGACTCCCAAGCCTTTGTTGACGACGCCTTCCTGTGCCTGATTCCATCACTGAAATCGTTCTGCATGGTCATCTTCCCTCACTGCTGGCGCGCATCCACTTCGCTTATTTTTGTTCCGTCAGACCATATTGTACTCTGAGTAGTTGCCATGGCAACTGTGATACCACATGTTGCTATGGTCCGATTGTTTCGTGAACCACAACCCAATCATGTAAGGGCATTTTTACCTCAAGTTCTTGTTTAAGGGGTTTCCAGACTGTGATAGCAGGCCGTGTGGTATCTGACCAATAAAAATCAGGCATGAGTGAATTACACGTAACGAAGCTTGATCTCAGGTGGTAGCTAGGTCAAGTATTGTGTGGCGTCAGAAGTTGGTCCACTTTTAATTTTCCGGTAGACAAGCTGTTCAAATCTTCATATATGAATAGTAAGGGTGTAGAATAAGTGTTCTAGGTACCGTAAACTAGACCGGCAAGCGACGGTGCTGTCTGGGGGTTACTTGGCTGAACCTTTTTCATGCACCTGTGGAGGTAGTAGTTTACATGGTTTATTTTATATATATGTATATATATATATACTTCTCCCATAACGCTCACCTTACGCGTCATCGGTTTCAGGGTTCAGTTGTTGTTTCACTAACCTATTCACTTCCCTACCTCTATTTGGTGAAATCTCTCAAGTATCTATCTGAGATGTTTGCGTGCAATTTCGGTTTTTTTAGTCAACCCGACTTACTAGCTTTCCAGCTTCTTTCCGTTCTGTACACACCTCAGACTGGTGAGGGTGAAAAAACCACAAGAGAGCTGGAGGAAACTATCGCGCGTTTGAAACGGGTTCTCCGACGAACTGTGGCCGAGAACGAAAAGCTAAAGCAGGTATCGACCAACAGTCCTCCAGTCAAAAATGCCGGACTTCAAATGAATATAGCGAAAGTAAGCGAGGTGTCCGGAGAGGCTCAAACTTCAGCGGGATCAAACAGTCACCGCTTGAGCACGAAAGAGAAATGAACCGGTTAGTTCGGTTTTCGGCGTGCAAACTTATGCGCTACCAGTTCGCGTTTTTCTTTCAGTCGGCTCGAATCGCTCCCAATAGAGGTAAATGCCCTGAGGCCTTATTAATACTGAGCGCACCATGATGAACGGCTGGATACTTCTAGAAATTCACAAGTAAAAACAATGAACATAGTTTTACATTTCGTCCCTCAGTAAGAATTGCTGCTAATGGTAGAACACCAGCAAGGACTCGCTTGAAATAGGTATGAATTTTCGCTATGCTATTTCAAGTTATTGATTAATTGGTTGAGTCACTGATCAGTCGGTACTTGCTATCCTGCTTTGGTTGATTGACTGACTGACTGGTTGTTTCATTGATTGAATGACTGACTAGGCTTCAACCACTTAATTAGGTGTGCCATCCGTTTTGTATGCATTAAGGTATATTAGACCTATCACATTGAGGTATCTTTTCCCCCACCCCAAGCAATGACACCCAACTCTCTCGGTTAGGTCTCTTGGCGTACGTTAGTGAGGATTTGGCATATCGACGCAAAGGTTCAACAAAACTTCACGCTACTGTCAGCCTAATGTCAAAATGAATTACCGTTGTGTCATTGAAACTTTGTCCCGTTTTTCACTCTACTTGCTAAAAACTCTTTGAAATTAAAATCTTTTCTGCTCGACAGTTTAACTGATGCCAAAGCTATTAAACAGATGTAAGGTTGGCGCCATATAACAGAATGAGAACGGCTCAATGCGGACGAACTGAAAAGGATTACCTGCTTCACGCGACACATCACTCATAAGTTTGCTGAAACCCTTCGACAACCCGGTTGCGCCTCTCTTAGCGCTCATCAGATCGGCTCAGTCCCCTGGAGTTTTCCCCAGTCCTTAAGTAAAGAGACGTTCATTTTAATGCCGTATTAACCTTGTTGAAAGTTGAAGCCCCCCAAGATTGCGAAGGGCTATTCAGAGCAACTGCGTCCATAATTTCGTCAAATTTCGATCGTTGTTGTTGCTATGACCATCTCCGGTGTACCGAAACTGAAGGCACAAATGGCTTGAAAGGGCAAGTTACTCATAGTGATTGTTACCATGGCCACTATTTGCTAGCTTAGGCCCCAAGGATTGATTAACCCTCACGTAGGCGATGCTCTGCTATTCAGCTGTATCGTGCTAATTTATGTTCTTTTCCCTTTAGGTGGTCTCTCACAATCAACAATCCGACATGAAGCCTCCCAACTAATAGGTAGCCAGTAGCAGTGCGAAAAGAAAATCTTACCTGGTGATTTTCAACAGATCCGGAATTCCACATCCAATAACCAGTCGATCGCTGAACTTTCCTTTTTGATATTGGAGGACCTTTTTAATTCCGGCAAATCTTTTTACATGTGTCGCTGGTAGATGAGTACCTATTCACACTGTTCACTACTTCTCACACAATCGTCTTCGGGGACGAAACCCATGGGCATTTTATACGTACAGTCCTGTTTGTGAGAGTACATTACAAAGATATACATGTATCGCAATATCTCGAGTATCGTAGCCACTGAAACAAGAGGCGACCTGGTGTAGCACATTCAGTTGTCTGGAAACATCACAAACGAGAGATTCAACTGGGTTCCAGGTGAGTCTCTCGAAAAAACAAATTAGTTTGCAAATGAGTGCATATTCGCGAATTTCGTGCAATTTGGTTTCAAGTAGAACATAGGGTTGACGGAAATCCGGGGACTGCGCCTACCTGATGAGTCCCAAAATGGGCGAAACAGGTTGTGGGCTGTCGGCGGATTTTCAGCAACCTTATGAGTAGTATATTACAAAGCGGACCGTTTCAGTTCACCTCCCTTAAAAGTGGAGTGCTGTACATTGAGCTAAATGTGCACACCAGACAACGTAACTCTAAGCGAGAGAAAAGAATGATTTTTTGCGTGTGAAAAATTGGTGGAGTCTGCTGTCATTTATGTAAAGCAGTTTGACGGTTACGATGAGAGTCAGGAATAGTAATCGTTTCCTCACAGCGATCACTGATTTGTCGTCAGTTCTACTTAGCTTGAAACTGTTTTATTCCTTTGGTATAAAGGGGCAGGGTTTCCGCAAAGATGGCAAACGAAGTGTTTGGAACAAAAACGGACTACTCAGAATCTTATCTCAGTCAGATATACAACCGTGTGCCTCCCACAAAACAGTGGAAGAGAGCACACCATCTGCATTTCAGAAGGTCAGGCACATGCTAATCGTGGCAGCGCATGGAGTTGAGTCGTCTGGTTGCCATATTGTGGTAAGGAACACAAATTTGTCACATGTGTACAGCTGCTCCCAGAAGGAAGTTTGAAAACCAAGGACTTTAGCGAAAAAAGTCCTGTTCACAAGTGGTTTACCCATCACTGGAGGTAACAAACCTCCCAAGTTCGTTGCTTCCGAGACTCGAACGGTGGGTCCCAGTGAAACCGCCGATAAACTTTTAGCTCAGCAAGCCCCCAGTGAAAACAGTCATATTTGGGGTAACAGATACAAAAAAGGGGAGAGTTTGAGGAACCGGTCTAAATCATTTTCTACTCGAAATACTCTTTCATTCGAGATATGCTATTGTAAGCATACATTTACAGGACTTAGCACAGACATAACCTCACTACTACGAAATGATACAAGGCCTTGTAATACAGTCGTTCCTTCAAATAAGCAACCCCTTAGTATGAGATAATCGGCCGGAGGAAATCGTTTCAGCAACTCGAAATTTTCACTATCTGATATCCCCCATAAGCGAAAATACATGACAAAAAACCCAAATGCCAAAAAGGGTGAATCCATAGCCCATTATGAGGTATTTCTTACTGTCCAAAGTAACTACAGTATTTGGTTGCAGTTCGAAGCGAGATTTCCACCTGTCGATTACAACTTCGGGGGGTTAGCTGAGAGGTTTAACAGAGTTACTTTGCTACCTGTTCCATACTCCGCCAGTATCGCATGAACAACCAAACTTTCCTCATTTATACGAGGAATACTCGTGAGAATTTCGTCTGACAGTTGCCTGAAATGTTAAATCACGTGTATCGTTGCCCAGTACTTCTGAAGTGGGAATAGTAATGATTCCAGCTCCATGAATCCGTAAATTGTACATTCAGAGTCATGCTTATCTGTAAGGGTGTCGTTCGGTTGAGCGTTTAAAACGAAGTTGAGCTTCGTTTCAATTGATTCAAATTGTGTTTCTGTACCAGTTCATCGAAACCGTGTCTATTTCTAGGATCACTGGTATTTAGCATGTGGGAGCCCAATGTTATGTCACTTTGCCTCAGTTGATGAAAAATGTACTTGCGTATTAGCGCGAGGGACGAAAGACATTCAGCCATCGTAATAGTTGCTAGATGGGTGTGCTGTTCTGACATGTCTGTGACACACCGCTTCAGTTAGCGACAGATTCGTTTCCTGTACACATCCAATAACTCATTCGTGGACCGATTCGTAGTAACCAAGGTTGAAAAACGCGTTTGCATACTGAATTGTGTATGTCGGCCTTCAATCAATAGTGAATGATACCGGTTTGTAGTGGTCAGATATTCAGTACAGAAGCTACCTCCAAATTTAGTTGGGTCGATTCTCCCAACTTTCAAGTATTTTCCTTCCTGAATACAAAACACTGCTGATTTTGCGGTAGTACTAGGAAAACAGTTTTTCGCAACAAACACATTGGGGGTCGTTCAACGACAAGCTATAAATAGTAATCATGCACTGCCAAACATAAGTTTTGTTTGTCTGGATAACTAGAAAAATAACACATCGCAAAGGTAATCAGTCTCCTTGAGGTCTTTCAAAAAATCCTCTCATCATGTAACTGACTCACACTAGACAATGAAACAGTTGATTTTGAAGGATACTGTGTGTTTTGGGGGAACTTGTTGATGAAAGATTCAAAACTTTGTTCACCTTTAATCCGTGATGAAAATGTAATTCAGCCGTATGCACATTAAAATTTATGGTCACTATCATGGATGGACACCCGGTCTTCCAAGTTCAGTGGACAATAATCAGAGAGACTGGTGACCGGGATGGATAGACGAATTTTTGTCCTCAGTTGGAAAAAGTTTGGAACCGATTGAGAAGTCATCGCTTCAGGACGGCTTCGAAAACAATCGGTAGTCTTTAGTTGGGCAACGTTTCGCTTTTGACAAGCTTCGTCAGGTCAGGCTACAAGGCAGATAGGGAAACAATCAGTAAATCCTCTTCAGATTATCACACTAGATCAGTGTTGTGTGTCAATTAACGGGTCTTATCGGTCAGTGTGGTTGTCAAAATCTTGCGTTGGTGGATGGGGGAGTTACAAATGAGTTCTTATCGGGTTCGTTTCTTTAATCTTCCACTTCTGGGTGCTTCAGTTGATGATTCACCTCGGGTGCCACTGGCAGATTTTCTTTGGTCTTTGTGGGGTTGTGAGTGCTGTGACAATTTAGTTGGGGAGGGGGTAAGGTCAAATGGAATTCAGATGATGACTACTCCTCCTGATGACCGCACACCAACACATGTCAGCTCGACTGATCCAAAACTGTTCTCCAAACGCTTATCAGTTCCGCGCCTTTTATTCTGTTAACAATGGGGTGCTTGGCGATTTCTACCACCTCGGCAATCGGTCTCAGTGACGTGGACCGTGGTCCTCGCCTCAAAACCTCAACATTTTCTAAACCTATTTTGTCCCGTATCCAGTGAGTGTTCCGCGATTGCCGAGTCTTTTAGTAACGCTCGATGTTCATCTGCGTTTCTCGGCGGCCTGTTTATTTTCCTCTTGGGCTCTCCGATTCTTGTGTGAAGTTCCTTGCCGTCTGTCCTATACAGACTTTAATACAGTCGTTACACTTGATTTTGTAGACACAGTCCCTAGCTCTGCTTGCCGGGAGGCAATCCTTCAGTTGCAACAGTGCAGAGCACAGAGTGTTTCCCCTCTGGAAAGGTACTCTTATGTTGGCCGTGTTTAGAATCCTTCGAATGACCTCCTCAATTTGATTCAAAAAGTTTTGATCTCAGCTGATTCGTTCCGCTAACCGCACACCCCCACGTGTCAGCTCAACTGATTTAAAGCCATCCTCCACACGCTTGCCAGTTCTACATCCTCTATTCTTTATACACTGGGGTGCAGGGCGATTTCCACCGCCTTGGCGTGAAGCCTAGTCCCTGCCTCAAAAGCTCAACATACTCTAAAGTTATTTTGTATTCATGTCCAGTGCATTCTCCCCCATTGATGAATCCTTCAGTAACATCCGATATTCATATGCCTTTCTCGGCGGTCTGTTTATTTTTTTTCGGGGCTCTCCGATTCTTGTGTGAAGTTCCTTGCCGTCTGTCCTATACAGACTTTAATACGGTCGTTACACTTGATTTTGTAGACACAGTCCCTAGCTCTGCTTGCCGGGAGGCAATCCTTCAGTTGCAACAGTGCAGAGCACAGAGTGTTTCCCCTCTGGAAAGGTGCTCTTATGTTGGCCGTGTGTAGAATCCTTCGAATGACCTCCCATGTCCCTGTTTTACATGGAATAACAACGGTCCCAAAGAACTCGTTTGGGTTTCGCCACCGGTACCAGCACCCTTCGTAATTGACGCCTAATCAAACTAGTTAGATATCCACTACCCCGAAGTTTGTACTTTACTTCAATTTGGGCCGCTGTCCGATCAACTTCTTCTGTGCACAGGGCCCTCACACGCTTAAACATTGATGAGGCAATACTAGCGAATACCGAGTAGTTCAAAACTGCCGGTGTCAGTTGGCTTCTCGTATACTGTGGTCTTTAGTTCCCCTCCGACCGGACAATCATCAATTGAAACACCCTGAAGTGGAAGATTAGCGAACCAAACCCGACCAGAATTAATTTGAACCCCTCCCCAATCCACCAAAGATTTTGACAACTACACTGACCGATAAGAGTCGTTAATTGACACTCAACACTGATCCAGTGTGATAATCTGGAGAGGATTTACTGATTGGTTCGCTGTCTGCCTGGCCCATTTGGTGACTTGCTCACTTGGCCTGATGAAGCTTTTGTGTTAAAAGCGGAACGTTGCCCAAATAAAAACTATCGATTGTTTTCGAAGCCCTTCTGCATCGAGAACTTTTTTCCTATGTTGATCGGCCACAAATTTTTCTGTTTAGGTTCACTCACGCAGTGTACCGCTTATTCTGGTTCAAACACTGAAAATGTGTACAACCGTGGGCGCCAGCGTCTCTTTGTCTTTTGCCTTCCTTGCTTGGTTTTCGGCTTTGTGTCATATATCACTGTTTACGCTGGGCGCTTTTCTAAGCTCAAATAACAAATGAAGTGACTCAACGTACTGGAAGTAAACAGGGATAAAACATGAAACATGGGGCACAGCAACTGAAGACAGACGATTTAAAAGGTCTCCAGGAAACAATTCTTCACGTTTCCTCTAGAGCAAAAATTGTTTAGAACCGAACTCTACCTCAAATTCAGTCACTCTTGACCATTCAGGTTTATTAGCTCCTCACTATGTATTTGTTATACCTGACTGCTGTCACAGCTCCAGTGACTAGTGCCGGAAAAGACTTGCCGACAAAGAGTAGAACAGCTTTATTGCGCACAAGCGACTGAGTGCGAAAAGTACAACGGCCTCGCGATATATCTTGAGGGTGCCCTGCCTGATTTCGATCCAAGGCTGTCTTGCACTCTCTGACTTTGATCCAGGGATGTCTCGTACTGTCTGACCTTGGCCCAAGGCTGTCTCGTATTGTCTGATTTTGATCCAAGACTGCCTCGCATTATATTATGAAGGGCACTGTCTGACCTCGGTCCATGTTTGTTTGAACA